TGTTTTCATGTGTAATGACCTTTCTTGTTTTGAGAGATTCATGGAACAGTTTTTTTTTTTTAATGGAGAGTGAATGGAAAGGTCATTCTTTACTACACAGATCACTGATTAGTCTTTACCGTTTTTGCCTTGAGTAGGTCAGCTACGCTCATTAACTTTTGCTCATTTAATAGCATCAGTCTAGCGCTAACTGGTGGGACATGTCTTTTTTTCTGCATTAAATGTGACTGAATTTGGCTCCCTCCTAATAGCATGTTCATGCAGAGAGGTCTGGGTACAGCCGACTCGACTGTTAATGGGGTGAACGGGTGGGTTTTATCAGCGTGTGAGTTATGCAGACGATTCCAGCACGTGTGAACAGCACCACTGCTGCTCTCTTTCACGAAACGTGTGCACCAGATAAGAGGTCACATCAGCAGCAGTGGAGCTGCATGGATTCTGTTTGCATTTGCATTGAGGTTGGGCGGTATGACCCAGATTTTTACGTTCATTTTATGAGATACTTTATAATAATCTAACACGGCATCTCTGCTGTATGATGTTTTTTGTTATGGCAATTGATATTTAGTGATGTAACGTGTATATATTGATTGTCATACCAATGTACTGACAGTATAACCGGAACAGCAAAGTCACTTTTGCTTTTTCGTCATACTGTCATGATGCCCAGCCCTACAATTGCAGCACACACACGCACACACACACTCGCGCTTGTGACCTTAAACCTTCAGAGCCCAAGGAGCTTTTTATTGATTGAAATTGAGACTCTCCATAACACAGAAAAAAAGAGAGCGAGAGAATAAAAAGATTGATTAGCCGCAGCTCTTGTGCTCCTGGGGAAGGGGTCTCGGAGGATGGAGATGAGTCAGTGGTGTGTGAGTAGGATGCGAGGAGAGTGCTAAGTGTGTGTGTGTATGTGTGTGTTTGCTTGCTCTGTGTGCATGTTGGATGATAGGCAAACACCTTCATTACACTTGCACATGCACAGCACCTTCAGAGCATCTTAAGTAGTTCCTTTAAAACGCTGCAGGCAGGAATAGATTTCCAGTTACATTTTCACATTTGCACAAACTGTACTGCTTTGAATCCTTTTGATGGTGATTTTAAATGTGCATTAATTTCACAACCACATCTCACAGTGTTTTTGTAAATGGTGCAAATTTCACATTTTTCTGGCTAGATTTTGAATAACATGAAATGTTTCATTGTATATAAAACGTTGGAAAACATTTGCGTCTTTAATAACATGGTATACATGCTAAACATTAATAATAATAGATAATAGATATGTAGAAATTGTACACTCATTGACCAATTTATTAGGGACACCTTACTAGTACCAGGTTGGACCCATTTTTTGCCTTCAAAACTGCTTTAATCCTTCATGGCATAGATTCAACAAGGTACTGGAAATATTATTCAGAGATTTTAGCCCATATTGGCATGATAGCATCACACAGTTGCTGCAGATTTGTCGGCTGAACATCCAGGATGTGAATCTCCCATTCCACCACATCCCAAAGCTGCACTATTGGATTGAGAACTGGTGACTGTGCAGGCCATTTTAGTACAGTGAACTCATTGTCATGTTGAAAAAACCAGTCTGAGATGATTCACGCTTTTTGACATGATAGGTAAACTGTGGTAAAAAAAAGAGATGGACATGATCAGCAACAATATTTAGGTAGACTGTGGCATTGACTTGATGCTCGATTGGTACTAATGGGACTAAAGTGCGGCCTTAACCGTTGATACAAGGCAGGGTGGATCCATGCTTTTGTGTTCCAAATTCTGACCCTACCATCTAAATGTCGCAGCAGACTCATCAGACCAGGCAAAGTTTTTTCCAATCTTCTATTGTCCAATTTTGGTGAGCCTGTGCGAGCTGTAGCCTCGGTTTCCTGTTTTTGACTGACAGGAGTTGCACCCACTGTCGTCTTTTGCTGTTGTAGCCCATCCGCCTCATGGTTGGACGGGTTGTACATTCAGAGATGCTCTGCTGCATGCCTCGGTTGTAGTGGTTATTTATAGCCTGGCCATACTCCTCTGACCTCTGGCATCAACAAGGCATTTGGGCCCACAGACCTGCCACTTACTGGATATTTTCTTTTTTGGACCATTCTCTGTATACTCTAGAGAAGATTGTGCATGAAAAAGCCCGTAGATCAGCAGTTTCTGAAATACAGCCAACAACCAAGCCTCATTCAAAGTCACTTAAATATCCTTTCTTCCATCTTGACCATGTCTACATGCTGGAGTGCATTGAGTTGCTGCTATGTGATTGGCTGATTAGAAATTTGCGTTAACGAGCAATTGTATCCAATAAAATGGGCGGTGAGTGTATATAATATACAGATCGATAGATTGATATATATATATATATATATATATATATATATATATATATATATTCTCTAGTCTCACAGTTTTCAGCACTAGATTTCATCTGAAGAATTTTTCAACAATAGCTTAGTGAGGCAGATTAAAATGCTGCAGATATAATAAGATTGGGCTAAAACGGTGCAGAGGTATAGGCTACAGTATGTGACCTCATTTCATCAGAGCTCAGCAGCTGGTAATAGGTGCTTTAGTGACTCTCTTTGTAAAATCTTTGCTATTTGATTCATGTGGTTTGCTGCATTTTAAAACAGCAGTTCGGCGAGCTGACATAAATGGCGCCCTGCTTATTTTGCACTGACTTGAGCAGGCCCAGTGTAAGAAAAGAAAGGGAACTGAATAAGCGCAATCATCAGCTTTGTGAAACAGAGAGGGCAGAATTCGTGCACGCAGTCATCAAAAATGCATCACAGTAGCCCTGTAGAATATTCATTATACGACCTCCTGTAAACCGAGGCAGCATTGCACCTGGTGTCCTCCAGGTATCATCTCCACAAGCAGACAGGCGCTAGCCAAATGATCTGAGTGCAAAATGCAAAGCTCCATCGGTCACATGGAGATATTAAGGCATGTGTGGTTTTCTACTGTACCCCTGGGGTTTAGACCACTTCCCTTCTCACAGTACTTATTGACACAGACACACACGCATGGGTTCTTTGTATCGCTCACACGCATACACTTTGTCTCTCTTCCCTATCACACATGCAAAGATGTGATAAACTTCATGTTTTCAAAATCAACCAATCTGTTGGTTGCATGAACAGCAAGTCATAACTGATCTCTTTTAAGGAAGCCCTATAAAATGAAACTGATTTGCATTCACCTAACCACAATCAGATGCAGGGAACTTTATGTAAGACGCCTGTTCAGAAGTGGTTAGATGGAGTTGAACAGAAAGCAGGGGTCTTGAGAAAAGTGTTTTTGAAACTAATTTTAGCATGAAACACTCAGAGCAGGCTATAGCAGTGCTGCTTTAAAGGCACAAAACCCTGCAAGAGGGTTTTACCTTGAAAACAGTCTAAAAGCTAAAGTGTGCGGACTGTCAGCTGGTTAAATAAAGTGCAGCCGCTCTCAATATCAAACTTCAGACAAAAACTCTACATCCAAATCCTATATTTTCTTTTCAGAATATGAAGAAATTGTTTAAAATATCGGTTAGAATTGAGTTGTTAGTGTGGCTTTATGTAGTGCATGGTCTGACAATTGGATGTGTTAATAAATTGGAATTAGGAGCAAAAATGTTGCCATTTTCATTTGCATACAGACTATAAAGCATATTTTAGCTGCATAGTAGCTTCATGTACCTTTTCTGTTTTTAAAAACATATGGGCTAAATGTCATGTTAGAAAAGTTGAAGCGCAATAGATAATCCATAAAAGACAGTATATTGGCTATGACAAGATGTCAATGGTAGTCTAACACCTGGTATTCTGAACTGGGACTTTGTATAGCTTTTTCTGATCTTCTTATGTAATATTGGGAAATACACAATGTGCTTTTTACATTTTTTTTCTTTCAAATCAAATTATTTCAGAGTACAAAGTTTAAATCACAATGAAAATGTGTTCACGTGTGTCAAATTGGACCACATTTGACCATAATGCATGTTTACATTATAAAAGCAACTCTAAAACCGATCAACAGTGGACTAAGTTTCAAACCTATTTACACTACCTTTACTAGTGGCCCTGTCTGAAATGCTTGCGTAGTGTAGAAGTTCGTAGGAGGTCCCATGTGTCATTTTTACGCTCAGTAGTGTGATGCAGGGTCTAAACAACATACAACTCTGAAGTCCTTGCGAAAGACCAATCAGACAAGGGATGGGCGGAGTTCACAATACTGATGGACAAACATCATGTAGATGAAATAATCAGTGTCAGTATTTAATAGAGTTGTCAAAAGTATCGAATTTTGGTACCAGTCAATAGTGAAATTTTAAAAACAACTTTTTTTGCCAACATTTCAGGGCTTATGTGTGGCATTTCTTTCAAAATGAAGGCAGAATGGAGTTTTAAGGTTTTGGTGGTTAAATTCAAGATTTCATCTAAGGTTCCAGGGATGTTACGTTTAGTCACACATTCTTTGTTGATATCTTACATTGGTTAAATATTTTAAAACCCACAGACAGATACATAGAGTGACTATTTGCTTTAGTCTGTGAACAAAAAAAATGGAAATGTTGATATGAGATTTCTGGCTGAAAACATTGACATAAAACTAGTCGATTTTTGCATAAATAGTTAACCTCTGTGCCTTATTCTTGATATATGCATATTAGAATGATACTTTTTAGTATATCACTCCCACAGCAAACCCCAAAACCCATAGCTTTGTTTTTTGTTTTTTATTTATTTAAGGATGTGCAACCATCGCTAAATCCTAGCTTAGCTTTTCATCTTCTTTCGACTCTCAGTTCATTAGTCCTAATGAAGTTGTGCTGAGAGTTAGTACTAATTCAGATGACTGTTACAAGCTCAGGATCTCCACAGTCACGGCATGTCTATTGATTTCCCAGCGTTTACAGCGGAGTGCATTCTTTTCAGATGTGTCCTCTGATGTTGGCCTCCTGACCTGTCATTTTTTTTTCTTTCTGTCGTTCTCAGTATGGGGAAGAGGAGGTCTGCTCAGACCGCCTGGATGCTGACTTCCCTGACTTTGACCTCTCGCAGCTGGACGCCAGTGATTTTGACTCAGTGAACTGCCTCAGTGAGCTGCATTGGTGCAATGAGCAATCAGATCACTCCCCTGCCTCCATACAGTACAGCGCTGGAGACCCAGAGCTATTCGAGGTGGGAAAGCTCACACTCATTGCTTAATCTTGAGCTGATTAGTGGTATAGGTTAGGAAATCATCTCTATTACTGTTACTTATAGTTAAAGTTTCTGATCCTACTATTTTATTGTTTTTACATTGACCGTAATCGTGTTAGCCCTTTGTAGATCCTCGTCCCAAATGGTACCCTTGATGTTGCAGTCTCGGCACAACCACATGTTGCAGCACAACCTTTGTGCTTTCACTACCCAACAAACTATTCAGTATTATGCAATGTTTGGACTTGGGGACAGCCTGAGTGGATTAAGAGGGCAATATGAAAAAGGGCCTTAGGTTCTTGGAAAAATGGTAGCCTTAAATGGATAATTCATCAAAAATGTAATTCTCTTACTGTGTACAGTACAATCCTTCATTCCAGATGTTCTTTAATTTTTGAAGTGCAAATTAGTATATGAAGATATTTTAAATATTATTTAATCATTTTGTTTATTAATTGCATTTCCATTTAACAATTTTATGGATCAAAAAGTACAAACAGACATCCTTATCGTAATCCTTATGAACAGATCAAGACAAATTTTAGACAAATTATCTTTTATCTTTTTTATTACTTATGACTTAAGAAGGGGGCACTGATATTCATTTGAGGTTTAAAGTAGAAGTAGAGTAAGAAGCCGATCACACCGAACATGCGAAAAAAAAAAAAGTGAGGCGCACTGCATACACTTTTTTTGTCCTTAGGCAACAACTGAATCAGCTGCCTACTGTGCGCGAGTGTTGCTGTTCATATTGGTATAATTTTAATATTTAATAATATTGTGATATTCAAGATTTGTGAAGTCATACAGCTCCAGATAACTCAAAACAGTATCTACTAGTCTCTCCTCTATCTTCAAAAGTCTCCGTAGTCATCTTGACAACACAAACACCACCTCTGCTTTTATTTGATTGGAAAATAAAAAGATTCGACTGCAGTAACACACTTTTTCCGCTCAAAGTTGACTTTTTCAACAACAAACACAGTGCGCAACAGCAAAAGTGTGAGGCGCAGCAAATGGTTAAAATGTGAGGTGTGCAGCATAAGCTGTGCGCAAACGCTCTCGACCATTAGTAAATCATTCAAATGATGCACCTGTCAACGCAAAAACCACGTTTGGTGTGATCTGCCCCTAAGTGATATCAGAATTGTATTGTTTGGTTAAAGCATTGTTTGGTTTATTCCAGTAGATATGTTACTGAATGATTGACTGATTTGACTGTATGACTAAATTTCATTGCTAGGGTTTGGATTTATGATTCAATTCTATTCAATTTATGTTTATTTCTATAGTGCTTTTCACAATGTAGATTGTGTCAGTGTAAATGATGTTTGCATGGGTGTTGCAGATTCGTTTAAGCTGAAACTTTTTAATTGAATTGCCATTCTTTAATGTTTCTGCCTCAAAAACAGATGAAAAACATATTCAGACACATGTTCTAAGGGCAAGTTTCTTGATTTTGCTTCACAGCAGATTTACCTTTATTTGTTTCTTGCTGTTGTAGGAAGAAAATGCGGCCCTGCTCGCTGCCCTCACAGACAGCCTGGACGGCATTGTTGAGGACGGAGTCGGGGGTCTGTCTGTGTTCCCTTCCCTGGGGGACGAACCTGAGGAGGGCGAAGAGGAGGAAGATGACCTCCCTATGGAGAGTGAGCCCCTCCCTGGCTCAATGAGCCCAGAGACAGAAGACCCATCTCTAGTAAGAACCCTTCCTTCCTGTTTAAGGTGGATATGGATGGGCCTCTGACTACCCCACAGCATGGGTATGATAGGCAACACAGGTCTGAATTTTTCTCATTTTGGGCTTTTTTTGTTTCTTTTTTAAGCAACCGATCTAACAAGAATCCTCTCCACAGGCAAGGATGTGGAGAACGTGGACACACTTTATGTGGATCTTTTTGCTTCGGCTTTTTTCTAGCTTTTCATTTTCCAACTCATCCCACTCCTCTTATCTTTCTCTCAGCCTTATAAGAAAGTACTGTGGCGGTACCATGGCACAGTGATGTCTTCAGATGGCAAAAAATGGACACTTTGGTATATTCCATGGCAATAGATAATCAAATAATCCTGAAAAATGGCTAACACAAGAATATTAAGTAGCAAGGCATGGGCCGGTATAAGATTTTGAGGGTATGAAAACCTTGGATAATAATATCACTATATTAGGGTATCAATATATTATATCAATATATTAGGGTATTGTGATTACTGCTCTAAAATAAGTTCTTTTTAAATGTCTGGGTAATAAAAACCAAAACGTTTTCCCCTCTGAACACAATACATTTTATTTTGAGATATTTTGGAGCAGGAAACATGTCTGACTAAATAATTCAAATAAATCATTGACCTCTGCTGTCTTTGTTAGTTTCAAAAACACTGATTTCTTTTTAAATTAAAAGTCATCATGGAAATATTTTTTGCTGGAGATACTGAAACTGGTTATCGTCCCATGCCTACAAGTAGCATAATGTTTTTTTATTTTTTATTTAACATTGATAGTTATTTAAAAATGTTTCCTGTGGACCATATCTGCATATTAGAATGATTTTTATGATCATGTGACATCGAATAAATAACATTTTAAAAATTAAAATGAGATATTTTTTAATTTTATCAGCTAAATTTGGCATTAGTGTCAATGAAATATTACAAATCTTGCCAACTTGAATTAAAAATTTGAACACTAGTTGTTTCCATGGCATTACCAGCATATTAGTGTCCAGCAAACATGGTTATACCATGGTACTTTTTTAAGGGAATGCTTTTATCTACTTCCCAGATTTCTGAATCCTCCAGGTGACAAAACGGACCTCTGCAGAATTGCTTTTTGCTCCCTTTTCCCACCTTTTATGGGAGAACCCTACTCTCTCTTGCTCATCTCTTTCCTAAAACGCCACTTCCTGGAACAAAATGCTGTTGTTATCTGTCCCTTTCAGCTCACAAACCCCAACAATTTAATCTGTGTATGTTGTGAAACCAGTTATAACAGTTATTACCCGTTGGACAGCTTTCCTATTCTACTCTTGTCTTTTCCCCCCTTTTTTCCCACTGCTTTCTTGTTTAATGCTGAACAATTGGTTGGCATAAGCTGTAGTGTGTTGTTGCTGTTTTTCCAGTTTGTGATGTGTGTTTTGTGATTTAATTTTTTCCATAGAGATTGGTAGCACTTACAGTAATGTCTCACATTTCATTCAATAGCTTAACAATTCACATTGTTCTAGAAATGCATTGTTTATTGCCCATGAAAGGGAACCGTCTGATTACTGAGATAATCGCTGTCTTCTTTTGGTGTTGCTGCAGTGTTACCAAAAAAGGCTATAACTTACAGTGTTTAGAGACAAATTATAGAAGATATATGCGAAAGAGAGACAAATCCCTTTTAAATTGAGGACAATTATGAAGATTTCTCAGAGAATGAGACTAGTACTTTTAAGGTGCCAGTGGGGCTGACATTACCAGTAGAGTAAATTGTAAACAATGTTTATTTTTCTCATTCAAACTATAGTGCACAATCATGCAGCATAGAGCAATGTTCTGAACAAAACAATTTACAGAGCTATCACTTGTTAAATGTACTACATACCAAGATACTTTGATTGGTTAATATGAACAGATTTACATATTTTGAACTAAAAATAAACACCAATTTTAATTAGCCTATTTAGTAATATATATTTATTATTATTTAGGAGTTTGTTCATAATACAGTAATTAAATTAATTGATACAACTTGATATGCTGATAATGTAATATTTAGAAACTGCAGCTCAGTAATTTGGGACCAATAAGATTTTTTATTTTTTAAAGAAATGAACGTTATAATTAGAATTTATTCATTCATTTATTTATTTATTTATTTATTTATTTATTTATTTATTTATTTATTTGTTTGTTTATTTATTTATTTATTTATTTATTTATTTATTTATTTATTTATTTATTTATATCAATGCATAAATGACTTATACAAAACAATGCCAGAGGTGTTTATTAAAAATATGAAAAGCATAGTTATATAAAAGTAATTATAATCAATTTGATCAAATGTAACAGTGACAACTTTTACATCATTACAAAATGTTTGAAATAAATGACGTTAACATTTTTAAGATGTTATCCTGCTAAAATGTATCACAGTCTACAAAATAATTACTGAACTGCTATTTTAAACATTGACAATATTGAATATATTAAGAAATGTTTCTTAAGCAGAAAATCATGAAGGATCATGTGACACAGAAGACTAAAATTTCAGACTAAAATATATTCAATATTATTAATGACCATAAATAAAAGCATTTAAAACACTTAACACATGTTAAAACCATAGGGGATATAGGAATATATAAGTGTATGTACCTGTATATTTATTTATCAAAGTATTTTTCAATAAACAAACAAAAAAACCTATTGAACATTTAGAATACATCATAAATATACTGTATTTTTAAAACATTTCCAGACACTTTTGACTCCAGCATTTTTCTAAACAAAGTGCCTGGAAGTTACAAGTCTAGACAGATGCACTACCATGTTAAATCATTGAGTAACAATGGAATTGTTCCAGTATAGTTTAGTCTGGGCATTACTGTCATACCCAAGAGCTGAGAGCCCCCTCTGCTGGCAATGGCTACAGTTACACCTCAACCCCTAAATGAGGCCAGCCTGTGTGCTGAACAAGGGGTGCATTGAAGCACCAGGAAAAGAGAAAGCAGAGCACATGTTTTCATGGCATAGATGGCTGGTGCATGCCAAAATGGCTTGGTACACAGAAGCTGAAACCCTCAGCGCCCCTTCAGTTTCCTCAATGGACACTGAGAGACATGGACAGACCTGCCAAGTTGGCACATTAACAATCGCTTAAGGGACTCAGCAACACATCTCTGCTTCTTACTTTGCTTTCTTTAGTTGCGCTGATCATTTAGGACTCGCACTTTCAGTTATTTTAATGTCTTGTTCCTTCAGCAGGAAACTTGAAGTAATGCTATAGTAATTTATAGTAAACAACATAAGGATATTTGAATCGTGCTATAGTGAAGTTGCAGTAATGCTATAGTTGCTATGATTACACAACAACTAGTAATATAAACAAATGACCCAATATTTTAGTTTTCTTCTACTATAACATGTATTAAAGTACAATACACCACAGTTTACTGTAGTAAAAGTACAGAATTTATTAGTTTATACGTTTACTATATGAAATACTACAGTGCTTTGTAGCATTAATTAACAGGAAGTTATAAATGCAGTATTTTATACAGTGCAATACTTTTTACTGTATTATGGTTGAAAACTTACTATAAATTACTATAGTATTGTTTATTTTACAATGTTTTTGTAGATGTACTGACAGTCTTGATAAACAGACGTCAGAGATTGAGAGATTCTGTGTTTGTGTAAGGTCTCTGTTTTAAATGCGCCATGTGAGATCAAATTTTAATCCCTCACCTCTCGTTCCCTCCACAGCTGAAAAAGCTCCTGTTGACACCCCCTAATGTGCCTGTGGGCCTCGAGTCGCACAAAGACAGTGGCGTTCATCGTCATAGCAGTAGGAACCAGCATGTCAAGCCTGTGAGGCCCGTGCTAAAGGTGAGAGGAAATCCATTCATTATGACTCTAGCTTTAAGCAACAGCACATATTTTGGAAATAGGCTAATTTTACCATTTAGCTGATCTCCAGTTCTGACAGGAGCATATTTAGCCTAGCATATGTTAGCATCATCTTAGCTCAGTCAAAGTCCCTTTAAGGCAAACCATTTAACTCGGCGGCCATCTCTGAAATGCCTCTCGGCAGTATGCTCTTTCTGAATGGGCACACATTAAACTCAAAACTGTTTGGCAAGTTTACAATTACATTACATACTTGGAACCACCAATAAAATTAAACAACAGCTGTCTCTTTAGTTTTGTTTCTTAACGTACGAATCAAACAAAATCAACATATTTTCTGGTTGCCCGAGCTAATACACATACACACAAGATCACGACACCAACCTTATTTAAAACTGTTAGACATTATCATCCTCTGGATAATGGCTGTCTGATCATATAGCTCTTCTGCAGTAATCCACTACTTTGTCTTTATGGCGAATCTCCTCCAGAAATAACAGAGACTGTTTGTTTAGAAGTTTGTTGGCGTTTGAGTAGTTACTGTCATGTGATGTGCATTTGACAGGACAGACTGTACTTTATGTACGTTTCATATAGATTACGAAACCAAAATAAGTTTGGTTTTAAGTGCAAAAAAATACTTGGTTCATTTAAAAGTACAGATTTCAAGCTTTATGTGGTTATATTTCTTATGTCTGTGAAGCGAAAATTGGCAGAGATTCTAGTGTGTTTGTTGAACAACAAATTGTAAAAGTACACGTCTGGTCCGAGCTTTTTCCTCGGAGAAACGTCAGTCTAAAGCAGGGGTCACCAAACTTCTTCCTGGAGATCCGGTGTCCTGCGGATTTTAGCTCCAACCCTAATCAAACACATTTTAACAAGCTAATCAAGGTCTCACTGGGTATACTTGAAACACCCAGGCAGATGTGTTGAAGTTGGAGCTAAAGCCTGCAGGGCACCAGACCTCCAGGAACGAGATTGGTGACCCCTTGTCTAAAGCAATTAATGATTGGCTTCTGTACTAGTACGCGGGGCTTCATTCACCATATTGATTAATAGACTTTTCCCATTCAAAACTATACAAATGACATGTCTTGTGTACTCTACAGTCTTTAGCCACTTTCAAACAGTGATACCGGTAAATATCTGGAAAATTATGGGAACGACTTTACGGTAATTCAAAAAAGCGGTGTTTACACAGGCAAAAACTTTACGGAATTTTTCCAGAAAAGAGCATTCGCACATCCATTTTAAAATGCCAGTAAATTCTGTCATCACTAACCAAAATGATCTCTAAACAGCTGAAGGGGTCGGGCTTTTGTTGATGGTTGATGGTACATAAGATGTGTGTTTGTGTTGGCGTTTACCAGCTGCTTCACGTGCACAAGCGGCAGAGCTTGAAGGTAAACAAACAGCAGTATATCATAAGCATTTTATCGATAAATTTTTACACAGTTGGCATTAAGAAAGAAAATAGAAACAGTATCTTGCTAACATCTAGCAGCTAAATGTGTCTGAAAAAATATTAAGTGAAGTTTTTTAAACTAATTTCGAGAGGAGCACGTGATATGATTGACTGCAGCACATCTGTCCTAACTCACTATAAGTAGCCTAGCTAGATTTACTCCCTTATCTTCATTTTCCCAAGAAACCCCCCATCCACCCCTTTCTCCTCCTTTCCTCCTTTAAAAAAAGGGGAGCTCTCGAGAACCACCTGATCTCGTACTCCCCTCTCATGCTCTATGGATCTGGCGGGGGCCCTGGGCTTAACTATCTCCGAGCTCAGGGTTCTCTCCCAGTACAGCATGCCAAACCTGCTAACAGTTGTCAAGCAATATCTAAGTGTGAACTCTTGAAAAGGATATTATTTTCAAAAACAGCGCAGATGTGGATGCATCTGAACGTTCTGATTAGCTAAAATAGATGTCTCACGTCAGCATGTTCTAGACATGCACGCGCTCACACAGAGCAGCATTCCAGCAAATTACCGTTAATGTTACAACTTCTCTTTCCGGAAAATTGCCGGGAACAAATTTACCGGTATTTTATAAAAAGGGCCTGTTCACACATGATCCCTTTCCAGACATTTGCAAGTAATTTTCCAGAAAGGTCTGTATGTGTGAAAGGGGCTTTTGACGTAGTTTGGCATAAATCGTTGAATAGACCATTAGTATCTCCCTCAAAAATTTTTTAAAGAGTTTTGATAATTTTCTTATTTAAAGCTTGACTTTTCCTACTTCACGTACTAAGACCAATGAACGAATTGAACATAATAGGCTATTTCGCACATGAAAAAAGTTTAGCTAGGTTACTAGGTAACAGCTTTGTGTAATGTCATTGCACCTGCTGCAGCCATGCTACAGCAGCAAAGTTCCTAGATTATTATGCCAGAATGTTTGAGCTAGCCGATCTAGAAAATAGAAACTTTTCAAATAGCAATGAGTACATGATGTAACTATAGAAGAGTCATGCTTTAATAGGAAAATTATCTAAACTTTTTTTTTTAATTTTTTGAGCAAGTTTTAAATGGTCTTACCAGATTGAAAGATGTATGCTAAGCTAAGCTAAGCTAAAAGTGCTCCCGCCAGACCCAGAGATTAGCTGAGTGTACTCAGAAATGGTAAAACTAAACTGTTTAAGTCTCAGGGAGTTGTAAAAGTTGAAAAAGAAAAAGTGTAGTGGTGCTTTAAACTCAAAACAGGATTCAAGAGGGCAAAGAAGACTTTCCATTGTACACCATTTATTACCGTTTACACCACAGTGTGTTCCCACTGCAACGCTAATGCCCAATTAGCTTATGCCAGCCTTTAGAAGCCACACCGAGGATTTGCGCTTCAAAGTTCTAAAGCCTGTGAAGCCTGTGGTTCCTCATTCACTCTCTGCGCTTTGGCACATCGCACCACGGCTAAGACTGTCGACGCATTAGAGTTGAGTGCAGCCATCTGTCATGCCAAAGCCACAGCCTCTACCCAGCCTAAAGGGCAATGTTCACTGAGTTAGAGATTACTTCAAAGAACAAGCAGTAGTTCCTCAGATACTAGAAGAATATCTCACAACCAACCTTGGCACATTTGTCACCGTAACCTTAGAGCAAAGTACACTCTGAAATAGACTCCAGGGGTTTCAGCTGCCCGCATAGTTCACATGCTTGCTCATTTCATAAGGGGGTTACAAAAGATGGCCGGCTACATTTAGGATGAATGCCAAAAGCAAATGCTCATCACTAGAATAGTTTCAAAAAGCTTATATTTGTTACTTCTGTCATTATAATGCTTAAACTTTCATTGTGGCTTAGATAAGATTGTTTTATTATAATAGACTAAACCATAAACAGATTCAAATCTGCTTTGAGCTGATTTTATTTTTTAGATTTACATGGTTGTATTAAAAAAGTCTTAATAACTCTTTCTTAATTTAAAACCCTAAAAACATCTTAATTCAGAGCTTAAATTCAAAATCTTGCAATAAATAATGCTCAAATTGCAAAAAAAAATTATATTGCTTTGGTTTTCTTGAACAAAAATTGAAATATTGTTAAATTAAGAAATACCCAAGAAAAGAAGAAATTGTTACTTGTTTTTTAAAGTAACAGAATTATGTGAACAAAAATTTATCAGTTTAATGATTGATTATAAAAAAAATCAATTAAATTTTTCTTGTCATTATTATTATTATTATTATTTATTATTTTTATTATCGAAAATATATTTAAGTATTGATACATTGAATATAATTTGATTACATATTAATATTTTAATGGAAAACATTAGGCAGTTCAAATTCAATTTCAAAGGAAAATGCATGCTACTATTATAAAAAGTAAATTTTTTACAGTCAAATATGTTTTAAACGGTAATTTATCGCTGTCTTCAAAGCAGATTTTTTCTCACCTAATTCTCATCATCTTTGTTGTCACAAAATTCTTCAGAAATCCAGAGATCCTTCAGACCTGCTATGCATGTTATTTTTTAAGATACTTTGATTTATCCACTTTATTTTGCAGTGTGGAAATTAGCATTTTTCTTTGAATGTGTAAGCCATTTGAGTCTGACAAATGCTTTCACTACAAAGCAGTAATTTTATAACAATAAATTAAAATTTAAATATTATGGTAAGAAAATTTTGTTTGCAATTTTGTTTTCAATCAGCATAAAAAGCCAAAAATGAATGAAAGTGAATGACACTGTAAGTCTCAATGCAATTAAATGACGTGTCACACCCTCTCTTATGTGAAAAATACGATGGATAGAAAGTTTTAAAAAAAAGAAAGTTTAACTCTTTTTTTTAAAAACAGAATTGTTTGTAGCATTCAAAACATTTGTATTTTTTTACATTTATTATGGTAATGCATCTTCTTTCCTAAATGAAATATTATACTTGCAGTCTCCAGAGTTTCAATCGGTACATACAGTTATAAGTATTTGTTTATACGTATTTTAAAGAGCCCCTATTATGCATTATAAAATGTCATATTTTGGTTTTGGGGGTCTCCATCAACATTCTGATATGCAAGCAAGGTAAAAAAAAACACTTTCGTTGTCTTATGATATGCATTTATTTTTACCTAATTATGCCAAAGACTCCCATATGATTTGGTCAGCGATTCATTTGTTCCCAAACCACCCATTTGTGTGAGGCTAATCTGCGCTGATTGGTCTGATGACCCAGTCTGTTGTGATTGGTTGACTGCTTTCAGCAAGAGACAGATTAAAAAAAGCCCACCCCGGCGTATGGAGTATCAGAGAATATGTCAGAGGCCAATGCAGGAATGCAATAATGCAATGCAGTTAAACACCAGCATATTACTCTACTCCTAATGCTAACCCCATGTAATAACAACGACACACATTTAGTATTAATATATACAGTGGAAAAGGTTGAACTATTTTGAAAATTGACCGCGCTGTGTGTGGAACAGCTGATGGTGACCATAACAAAGACACATGGCAGAGGATCGTGAATTCAGAAGTGCATTTAAATCAGTCAAGGAATAAACACACATTGCTTTTCAATGGAGTTTTGAACGTGATATATAAGTAGCCCAAACAGATTAAACCTGAGAGATACAATACAAGCACTGATCATTAATAGATGTGTTTGCAAGCTGCGTGGAGCGATAACAAGTTACAACACACATTTAAACACTTATTTCGCAAACTACACAAAACGAGGCAACAATTTTAACCACACTTACATGTTATGATGCGGAGAAGGAAGAAACTGGTCCATATAAACTGTAACTGTTACTGACGAAGTTTCTTTCAAAGTCTGACAAAGTTCTATACTTAATAGTCTCTGCTGCTCCTTCAATAGCGAATGAGCAACTAATCCCGCGTTGCAGCGTAGGTTATTGTATCAATCATCAGAAAAATTACAGGATGCGGTACTACATATTTGGTGATGTACCGTGTCGATGTCGATGCGCTCTGGCAAAGATCCGAACCCAACTTGATTCATTTATTCGACTTTGAGTCGACTATTTCATTAAAGAATCAATAGTTTTAAACATGGTGCACTTTCAGATTTAAACTTCAGCTGGATGTTTCCATTCACTTAGAGCTGTGGTACAAACTGCGTGGATGATGGTTTTCAAAAACATTTTCAAATAGTGGCTCTTTAATGACATGTTTTGTCCTTTATATTACTGCTGTTGATAATGGCGCTTTGGAAAATCGTTAATTTACTTACATCTATTAACTATAATATAATCATAAATGTTTTTTAGACTTTTTTTGTTATGTAAATCTATTTCATATACATCAAAAAAATTAAATAAACCATCTTCTCTCTTCACAGAAGGACAAATCAAGCACACAGGAGCGTAAGCCGCGGCCAGTGAGGCCCAGCGGTCGTCTTTGCACTGAACTCCACCGTCACCTCACCACAGCACGGGACAATGAGGACACACCGTCAGCCGACACTGAGGAAGAAGAAGAGGAAGAGGACAGCGAGTCAGAAGAAGAAGAGGAAGAAGAGTCATCCAGCAGCGAGGGGGAAAGCGTGGTCTGCATTGAGCCAGCAAAGCCTCAGTTCTCCTCTGAGAAAGAACTGCACTCTGTAGTCGAGCTCATCAAATACATGCACACGTACTGCCTGCCTGTACGCAAACAGGCTAGCTGGGATCGCAAAGAACGCGAGGCATTAGCACGGAAAGCCAAACCTGAGCACTCACAGATCCCTCGACCCCCTCCGACCTCTCAGAAACCTGCTTCTCAGACCAGGCCCAGGATGCCGTTCTGTCGACGAAGGGAAATCAAGGCTCATTCACTGCTTAAGGAGCTTTTAGAGGCCGTCAGCTCGTTTGATGTTAGTAAGCCTTATAGGATGCACAGCCCTCCTTATATTCACAGCAGAGGAGCTGCCATTCGGCCCGCTGTTGACGTTTCTTCTTCTCCTCCACGGCAGCCCAAAGCTGAACCTAAAGACTCAGACTGTGAGAGTTGGCAAAAGGCTGCAAAGAGGCCTAAGAGCCCAGAGCCAGAGGAAGGGTCATTTTCTGTCAGACGCTCACGACGACTGGCTTCTTTTCCTAGCCGGTTTGCTAAGAGGGTTCGTGTTAACTGTGGCCGGACGGAGCAATGCAGCGAAGAGGAGATTACGGTCAAACATCCTCCCACTGACACTGAAAGCAGCCAGAAGAGCAGCTCCTACAAGCCTTCTGAGACCCATAATAACCCATGCTGCAGTGACGGTAAGAATTCAAGAACACATCGCAGGTTTACTATTAAAACAGTACTATAGTTTAGACACATTACAGACTGAGATTTGTTTTTTGGGAGTCTCGAATGCTATTCATTTATTTAAAATCAATTTTATTTGTGAGTAGTTTACCAATTACTTTAAATTTCTTTTAAAATGATCAATGTTTCTCTCAGGTTTCTAAGTGTAGGTTTTGTAATTTCACTTTAATGGTGGTGAACAGGTTCTTTTCATTTCCTTTAATGTAAAATAAATTAACTTACATATATGAAGCTCATTCTAGATGAAATGCAGTGGTGTTTGCCTCTTCACACTGCAAAATATGTCTATCTTACCTAGAGATTTTGTCTTGTTTTTAGTCAAAATATCTACAAACTCTTGGGGTAAGCAACATAATCCTTTTTCCATCTGAAAACAAGATTATTATGCTTACCCCTCTAGGAGATTATTTAGCTTGTTTTAAGTAAAAACTCACTTCATTTTGACTTACACTACCGGTCAAAAGTTTGGGGTCAGTTTTCATGTTTGTTTTTTGAAGAAAGTTATTCTGTTCATCATGGCGGCATTTATTAAATGTACAATTTTTTAAAAATTGTTAAATATTTATATATTAAATATATATTTATTTATTATTGTATGTATGTTTCAAATAAAAATATTACTATTACCATTCATAATAGTAATATTAAAAATAATAATAATTAATATTACAGTGATTTCTGAAGGATCATTCTATTCTGAAGACTGGAGTAATGAAGCATAAAATTCGTCTTTAAATCACTGGAATAATTTTTTAAATTACATTAAAAACTATTTTGAGCAGTTATTTTATCGTGCAATAACATTTCACAATTTGTACTGTATTTTTGATCACATAAATGCAGCCTTGGTGAGCGGGAGAAGCTTATTTTAAAACATTTAAAAATCCTATTGACAACAAACTTTTTACCGGTAGTGTATTATTTTTGAAAATAAGACTATAAAGTTTTATACCTGTGTTAAAAATGCTTCTTGATTTAATAATTTTGACAGGAATCATAACAAAAGGTCTAAGTAAAGGCATTTTTGCAGTGCATATGGTGAATAAAATATAATATGATAGATGGATGGATGGATGGATGGATGGATGGATGGGTGGATGGATGGATGGATTGATGGATGGATGGATGGATGGGAAGAGAAAGAGAGTAAACAGAAAAATTGATCAATGTTTTTTACTTTAACTTAAACTTAAAAATATATATTTGTATAGCAAAACTTATATACTATAACTTATATGACTTATTATTTCTAAAAACAAAACTATATATTGTTATGCCTGTGTTAAAAATGCTTCTAGATTTTTGAGTTTTGACCAGAATCATGACAAAACCTTTAAGGCATTTTGCATATTTTGAATTAAATATGATAAATGGATTAAGCGAGAAAGAGAAAACAGAAATATTAATCAATGTTTTAAACTTAAACTTTTTTAAACAATTTTATTTTTATAGCAACATTTATATACTTTGTAGATCAAATTGCAATATTGAAAAAAGATATTTAAAAACATTTTTAAAATAGCTATACTTAAATATGGTGAACATGGTGATAAAATAAAAAATATAATAAGATTACATGTTTATTTTGACTTGAAAGTCCTTGATCTTTTTCTATTATTCAGCATTCTTTGAAAAGACTTCTATTTGTTGCTGCTTTAAAGAATCCAAAAGCCAAACAATGTTCTAAAGAATCTATAATGCACCATCAAGCATGTTTTTAATCTTCATAGAGCCAGTTGAAGAGCTCACAGCATCTGCTATTGAGATCTCTAACAATGCCTCTGTCTGTTGTTGTGATTGCAGAGAAACGCTCCTGCCTCTGTCTGCCGCTGGCAACCAAATCCAACGGGTGCGTGTTCAATTCATTCCTAATCTATTCTAGAGCCCTGGAACACTTCCAGGCCAAAAGTTTAAGACTCTTGTCCATCTTGAGAATTGCCTAGAGAAGGCTTGTTTTGTAGCTATTTTACCACAAAACACGGCGTCTCTCAAAGTGAAGTATTGCTATAAATAGCCAGAGGTCCTACTACCAATTACAGTCATTTGTTGTTCCATGCATATACATAGCTCAGACGCGGTGCAGATAAAGAAACCCAGATCAATCAAACCCTGCTATAAATGTCGTTAAAAGAAAAATAGAAATCTCTGAAGCAGTAAACCGGATGCATTTTGTTGCTGCACAAACAGAAAAACATATGTGATGAAAAGGAAAATGAAGTTTGGAAGGTCTTGAAAAGGTCTTGATTTTGAAATCACTTTTGGTCACTTTATTTTGATGGTCTGTTTGTTGCATTTAAGTTGCATTGCATCTACATGCCAACTAATTCTCATTAAATTATAAATACACTGTTAGGTCAGGGTTAGGGTTAGTGTAAGTTGATGTACTTGCAAAGTTACTTATAGTCAGCTAATTGTCTGTTGAAGGAACAGTATCAACAGATATTAAGCAGACAGTCTACTAATCCTCAAATTGACCAAAATAAAGTGTTACTTATGTTTTCTAGTCTGTCTTTTTTTCATGCTTTTAAAAACCCAAAAGGACCTCTGAAGAACCCATAATGCACCATCAAGTATTTGTTTTTCCAAGCATATACATATGCTCTGAAGTAAAGAGACCCAGATCGATCAAACCCTGCTTCAAATGTCATTAGAGGACAAATATAACCCCCTGAAGCAGTAAATCTGATGCATTTTGTTGTTGAAACTGTATCCTGTTTTTCTTGTCCGACTAAGAGTTTAATGGATTCTGCTGTTTCTTCTTTGTGTTTTCCTGATCAGAGACACGCAGTACGCCAACAAGCCCTTTGAGCAGACTCTCTGTATGGAACTGTGTGGCACAGCAGGTATTATTACGCACTTAGTCGGTGGTATTTTTATAAGCGTGTCATTTTTGGGGCATTGTGTAAGCTATTAGCACTTGATTCACCTCATATGTTCTCACACATGCTGATAGCTTGCCAGTATTTGCACAGGATTTAGACTGTTGCGAATGACGCGTGTAGATTAGGCTAGTGAATGTCTAAATAAGCTGAATGGTAAACGGCTTGTTACTGCATCCTGTCAAATAAAAGTTTGTGGCCTTCACTTATGAAAAGAAACAAAAGAAAAGAGTAATTTAAAATGAACTGTCAATGCAATTTAGAAATGTTGTGTATTAGTGTGATGAATATTTTGATGGATATATTTGTTTTTAAAAGATCAGATTTTAATTGGAATTGAAATGTTATTAATTGTATGAATGTCCTTGTCGTCACTTTTAATTAGTTGACTGAATTCAGAAGGTTTGGGGTCTTACATTTTTAGCAAATTCAATATTATTTCTGAAATAGAAAGCTTTTGTAATTCACTTTCATTTTGCTTAATTTAATTCATCCTTGCTACATAAGAGTATTATAAAATTACAAAGTAAAATCCTTACAGAACATTTAAACTGTATAATGTTACAAAAGGGTTTCTTTTTCAGGTAAATTCTGATCTTTTAAACTTTTGAATTAATCAAAGTATTCTGAAAAACAAACTGGTATTGTTATGCTTAAGAAGAGTCAAAAGCTTACATACAGCACCTTTAATCATGTGATTGATTGTGTGTGACATTGAAGACTGGAGTAACATTTCTGAAAATTTTGCCTTACCATGACAAGAATGCATTGTATTTTAAAATATATTAAAATTGAAAACTATTATTTACTTTAAATGTAATGGGAACACTTTACTCTAAGGGGCGTTCAAAAGACTTTCATGAAAAATTTGCATGTCATGAATGATATTTTTAAGCGTGCTTATAACAATTATCTTTAAGTGTCATTCACTCAGTTATGTCATATTAAATGCAAATATAACATAGTTTGAGATAACTTGACATAAACAAATACATCCCAACCTATCTTTGTCTTGACAACTTGGCATTACCAATACAGCATAATTTGTCATAAATCTGTCATAACCATTATTGTCATGAGGCCATTATTATTGTGTCCCGAATGTTTTTGTGACTACTTTTTCAGTGCAAGTAATTGAATTTGGCTTTCATTAAAAGTGTCAATATTCTGTCAAATAATTGAATAATGTACATACACACACACACACACACACACACACACACACACACACACACACACACACACACACACACACACACACACACACACACACACACACACACACACACACATATATATATATATGTATGTATGTATGTATGTATATATTTATATATATATATATATATATATATATATATATATATATATATATATATGGCAATATTATTACAGTTTCATAAATATTTTTCATTTCATAATGAATGCTTAAAAGCGTTTCAGCAATACCAATATAGATAATTGCCTTAGCAACAGCCACTAATAATAACCGATTCAAGATTATCCTTCATTATTATATATTACACACGCATAATATTATGTATGACTTCTTTCGTAAGCGTCATTAATTATGTTCATTTCATAGCTCTTGTACACCATGACTAATAACAGAATACTGGGTGTTATTACAGTGCATTTGGTTGTGCCTGTCGCAGTGATTAATGAGCGAGTGTGTGTGTGTGTTTTGCAGGCCTGACTCCCCCCACCACACCTCCCCATAAACCAGTGGAAGATGAGCTCTTCAAACCCGACGCAAAAGCGGATCTCAGCACCAAAAGCTCATGCCTGATGCGGGCTAATATGCGCAAACTCCCTGAACAGACAGAACTGTATGCCCAGCTGCGCCGCATGGGTCAAACGGGGGATATAGACTCTAAGGGTGGGACGCAACGTGCTTATGGGGACCATGATTACTGCCTGATGGGGCTGGGAGAGAGTCGTAAGACAACAGCAGTGCTAAATGGCTCTCAGTGCCATGTGGAAGTGAAAGAGAAAGATGAAGAGGAAGAAATGGAGATGGATGTGGAGAAAGAAGAGATGGAAGAAAAGGAGGAGGAGAGGGTATTAACAGACTGCCAGCAAAGGACTGAGGTTAATTCTCTGGTTGAGCTGCCCAGTCCAGAGGAGACCAGTGAACACTCACCTGTCCGATCTCCAAGCCCAGAGCTGGACGCCCAGTCGCCAGTGTCCTGTTCACCTCCTTCCCCCAGCTGCAAACTCTCCTTCAGGTACTGAGTTTGCCATTCAGTTTGAATAAGCTGCATTTTGGTGAACTCAGAAATCTGAACATTTTGAGTTCAATGAGTTTAATTAACAAATAACTTTGAAAAGTGATACAGGACATTTGTCAGCTTAAACGCATGTATAATGTCACACACATATAGTGACACTAAAATAGCTCTTTAAGACACTGCAGGTTAATAGAGTAAATACTGAAGTAATGAAAACAACACCGAGTTATTACCATACTTCCTCAGCTGATTGATTGCATTAAGAAGTTCAGGGTGAGGCCAAGCTGGAGCGCCCACTCTGATCCCCCCTGGATCTGCAATGGTTGAGGAAATTCCAAATTGAGTCAAAACAAATGAGTACAATTGGCTTGATTAGATTGACAATGGAAATTTGGAAAATGCAACCAACAGAACCTGGGAATTAAAAAAAATAAGAATAATAATGGCAGGGTTTTTTTGTATTACAATTTTAGCAGAATGTTATGTTTAAATTTGCCATTGAGGCATAATTTAATCAAGTGAAGTTTATTTATAAACTAATTTCAAGAGGAGCACGTGCTTATGATTGATCACGGCTGGTCCCACATTAGCTAACGCATGATTTAATAATTGGATGATTCCTTGCTTGTGTGAGTTTCCCCCAGGCTCCCCAGTTTCCTCTCACAGTCCATAGGTGAATTGACCAATCCAAATTGGCACTGTAGTCGAGCTCTTAACCAGCAGTATATCAGTCAGATAGTCAGAAAACTTTATTTTCATTATTTTGGTAGAATAAAATATTATCAGCTAAATTATTTATGAACAGATGCTTCTATAAAATCCTTCCAAATAGATATGAATAAAACTGAAGTTTTGTGTATGTATAGTATGTACTGCTGGGGTTTGGCTCAAACAGATGAAAAATATATATTTTTGAGGGAAAAAAGCCATTTAAAATCTGTAGACACAAATTGATGATGTGATAAAAGAAGCACATAAAAATGTTTTGGAGGTTTTTTTTATTATACTTTAAACAAAAACAAATTATTTTATAGTCTAAACAAAACAAACAAAAAGCCCAAAATGTCAAAATTAGCAATATGTAGCAGTATTAGTGTGCAGTTTTGTCACCTTAAAGAAATAGTTCACCCCCTAAAAAAGTACTCCCCATCAGTGCTGTGTAGTAACTAATTACACATTGTCTGGAGTTTCTAATAATGTTCCAACGATACAGTAATTATTTTACTTTTTAAAAAGCTAAACAGATTGCTGATCCTTTTTTGTATTACATAATTACACTTCACTTAATGATGATTAGATGTTTTTAGTTTATAGATTTCGGAATTCTGTTTGTAGTTTGGCATATGATAATACATATAACTGTTAATGAAGTCGTGTTCAGCAATGATAAAAAGCCTGCAGCTCACATGCAATTGTCCTTTGCCTGTTAGGCTATATGCCTATGCTGTTAGCATAGCTGTTGTCATTGTCAAGCAATAGAACACTTTTACATTTACATCTCAGAGATATACGAGTAATATTTGATATCTGTCTTTCAATTAAATACAGTACCAGTATCGTGTTAACAAGATCTTCATCATCAAGATTCATTTGCATTTATTATTCAGTTTTTGTAATGCAAACCTGTCCTCCTTCTTACAGCGATGAAAGCTCAGAGACGTGTCATGGAGCAAATGAAAAAAGGAGCAAGACAAAGTGTGGACAGGAAAATGATGGGGTAGGTTGTTTTTTCAAACCAGTTTTAGTCATTGTAGCATTGAAAAACCCATTATAAAATGCCAAAGATGAATGTTTTGTTCTTCCTGTCACCACTAGGGCTGGGTTAATACCATTATTTTGGATTTGGTACAATTACAGAATGTAATGTCTCAGTATCGATAATAAAACAATACCATACATATTAATACCCATGTAACAAAAATGTATTACATTTTAATAAAACTTTGTTAGGTTTCTGTTTAACGAAGATTTGTTCAGCACATTTCTAAACATAATAGTTTTAATAACTCATTTCTAATAACTGATTTATTTTATCTGTGCCATGATGACAGTAAATAATATTTGACTAGATATTTTTCAAGATACTTCAATACAACTTAAAGTGACATTTAAAGGCTTCACTTGGTTAATTAGGTTAACTAGGCAGGTTAGGGTAATCAGGCAAGTTATTGTATAACGATGGTCTGTTCTGTAGACTATCGAAAACAAATATAGCTTAAAGGGGCTAATAGTTTTGACCTTAAAATGGTTTTGAAAAAATGTATAACTGCTTTTATTCTAGCCGAAATAAAACAAATAAGACTTTCTCCAGAAGGAAAAATATTATCAGGTATATTTTGAAAATTTCCTTGCTCTGCTAAACATAATTTGGGAAATATTTAAAAAAGAAAAAAAATCAAAGGGGGATTAATAATTCTGATTTCAACTGTATGTATTAGTTTATTTATCATCAATAATTCATTTAAAATATATAAAATATTTCTCTATCACTGTTAGGTCAGGTTACGTAATAAATGATAACAAAGCTTACTTTAATGTACAGTATTATTCGTTAAGTCAAGATTTTTATTTTTCAGTGAATTTAGAGACTGACAGGTGAGTGCATTTCTCATCTCATTAATTCTGATTTATTAAACTTTTATTTACTGCGAATCAAAGCAAATGCATAAAAAGCGCAAAATTATATTATTTAAGTTTCGTGCTTTATCAGATTATTTTTAGATCCCATTTAAATAACTGAAGAAAAAAAAACATTAAATCTCTCTCGGCTGCTGCATATTGGCAGTGGGCAGCACAGCAAAACCATTGCCATATTATATTATATTATATTATATTATATTATATTATATTATATTATATTATATTATATTATATTATATTATATTATATTATATTATATCATATTATATTATTTCTTCATGTTATTGAAACTAAAAATGAATATAGCAAAACTCTTCCCTCATTCATATTCAAATAATATCTGATAGATTTAAGCGCAAGTGCTTAATATAACTATTTCAAGACCAAAACTAGTATGTAACATGCACATTTGAGCTTTGATGTTACATAGTGATGTTACATATATATATATATATATATATATATATATATATATATATATATATATATATATATATACAATTGATCAGGTGTCTTAATCTTAATTTATGAAAGTTGAATAATGCACTCACCTGTCCATCTCTAAATTTGTGGAACTGCAAGATTAAAAGATTGGATGTGTCTCCTGTAGCAACACATGATTAATAGCAGTGCTTGCACACAGGTGCATAAGGTCAGTTGGTTCACCTTTACCATCTGTTTCATATTCAAAGTAATGCCAGTTTTCACTTCTAGTACAGTCCTTATTTACCAGTTTCAAGTACGCTGATTCGAGTCATATTGTATCGTTCTGTTGTTAAGATTACTGGTTTCAGCCACAGATTTTGAAGCAATATCGAAGTGAGCAAAATTGTGATATCAAACCGTTGGAAATATACTGTTCATACCACAATTTTTCCAGTAGCAGTGTGCAGCACATCTCTATTCAGATAATTTATTTGTTTAAAAGCATTGTTAAACATATTTATCATATTGCATGTGCATTTTCAGAACAAGTGCCAAGTGATCTACATTCACAACCTTCCAAGCAGCGTGACTCAGACCATGCTGCGCAAGCGCTTCGAGGCCTTCGGCCATCCAGAGGATTGTAAAGTGGTCATCAAAAAAGAGTGGGTTTCATTTTTGTCTACTTGCCTGACTTGATGATGAGTGGGAGAGCGGACTCCTGATGTTTCCATGTGTTTGTTTAGGGAGCGTTGTGGAGTGATCACACTGAGGCACACTCAGAACGGCCAGACCTCACGGCACAGGTGGGATTTGCTCGGTCCGAGTGGCGGAAACGGCAGTCGGCGGTTTGGCAGAAAGCGTTACATAGATCTGGGTAAGAGAACAGAGAGTTTTCCATGTCTTTGATCTTCTCTTTGCATCAGTCGTCTGCTTCTCTGAGTCAGAGGAAAGTGTCTTCTCCTTTCTAAGCTAATAAACGGCCTAATTCAACTTCATTTGCATTTAAATAGGAAAAAAAAGACTTTTTGATTCTTGGTTGACCCACTTGAAGAAGCAGGCTGCAGTTTTAATTATATTCAGGCCGGTACACCGCAGTGCTTTGCTATTACTTCAAGGCGATGGTCTAAACAATGTGTGAAGTCAGTTCCAGACGACGATAATGAAAAAGCTGCTCGCCTCATAATTTGTTCATTTTTATACCAGACTCACTGTCTAATCGAATGTGCTGAGTCAGATTATATTACATATAGCAGATAGGATGCAAACAAAAAAAAACTGCTGCCCACATGAGTGGTGAAACTAACAATATGTTTATTAACGGCTCTGGGGTGATCAGGGGTGCACAAACCTTTTCTTATGAAGGGCAAAAAAACAAACTTGATTGAGGGAGGTGACGCAGTAGATAGTGCTGTGGCCTCACAGCAAGAAGGTTGCTGGTTCGAGCCTCAGCTGGGTCAGTTGGCGATTCTGTGTGGAGTTTGCAAAATCGAGGCTGAACTCTCACAGCGTGAGCAGGGCTTAAGTGTGTGTGTGAAATGTTTCCCAGATTCATTCGGCTGTGGCGACCTCTGAAATAGAGACTAAGCCAAATAAATGCATAAAAAGTAAAAGCAAACCGTGAAATACAGTTCTGAGTTATGTAGTAAGATACTTTGTGTAAAATATTGAATTAGTAATTATGTTATTAAGCAGTGTTGCTATTCATAGCTGATAAAAAATTGCCATAAATTAAAAAAATTAATAAATCTGATATTAAACATACAATGTAAATTAAAAAATCTACATATTATACATCTTAGATGCAAAACTTAAATTGAAGTACTCACTAAAAATATGTAAATTAAAATGACAAAAAATAAGAGCAAATATTAAACTAAACGTTTATTGAAAATATCAAAGAACTTTAAAATAATATAAATAATAATAATATGCTAATAAAAAGATGCAGAAACAATATTCACTTAGAAAATGCTTTTATTTTTCCTGTGGCAAAAAACAAAAAAATTCCAAAGTAAAAACAAATATATATTTTTTGCTTGTGCCTGTACAGAAATGTATTATTTAAATATATTATATATTTGATTTATTAATGAAGTATTATTTTACTGTCTATGCATATAGTATTTCTATATTTACTTATTTATTTATATGACATAATATAATAATAAAATGCTGAATTAAAATAATAATTCACCTTCAGGTGCTCTGGTTTTCCCAACAGATCAAAGAAATGCAGTATAGGTGCATGGAGTAAGCTAAATTGGCCGTGTGTGTGTGAATGCAAGAGTGTATGGGTGTTTCCCAGTGTTGGGAAGTGCATCTGCTGCTATAAGTTTGTGGTTCATCCTGCTGAGGCGACCCGTTATTAATGAGGGACTAAGCCCAAAAGAAAATGAATAATTTTAATAACATGAATTTATATGCAGTTATGTCCATCATCAGTAAACTTAACAATTCTATTATAATTTATTTATTGTGTACAGTTGAAGTCAGAATTATTAAACCCCCTTTGAATGTTTTTTTCTTTTTTAAATATTTCCCAAATGATGTTTACAGAGCAAGGAAATTTTCACAGTATGTCTAATAATATTTTTTTCTTCTGGAGAAAGTCTCGTTTGTTTTATTTCGGCTTGAATAAAAACAGTATTTAATTTTTTTAAACACCATTTTAAGGTCAAAATTATTAGCCCCTTTAAGCTATGTATATTTTTTGATAGTCTACTGAACAAACCATCGTTATACAATGACTTGCCTAATTACCTTATCTTGAAACATATCTAGTAAAATATTTGAACTGCCATCATGGAAAGAGAAAATAAATTAGTTATTAGAGATGAGTTATTAAAACTATTATGTTTAGAAATGTGTTGAAAAATCTTCTCTCTGTTAAACGGAAATTGGTGGGAAAAAATAAACAGGGGGGCTAATAATTTAGGGGGTTTAATAACTCTGACTTCAACTGTACCTATTTGATTTCTTTTATAGTTTTAATCTAAGCATGTCTATGTGTGTGTTCAGATGAGGCAGGTCCAGGTCCAGTGAAGAGCAAGTATGATGCACTGGACTTTGATGCTCTGCTGAAAGAAGCTCAGAGGAGCCTGCATCGCTGACTCGCCTTACCACGCCTCCAGTTTCACGCCCCGTCCGGGACTCGCCTCAGCACCTCAACCAAGGCACTTCTTCATGTTTACATTTTGAACATTGGAATAAAAAAAGATATATATAGACCTTGTCACTTCTAACTGAGGATTGGAGGACATTTGGGGGGCAGGAGGATTACAAACGAACAGCTCTGAGACACCGGACACAAGTGCTGCTTTTCTTGTGTGTTTGATGCCATTCATGACGTTGCGAGCGGCTCGGGCTTCGTAGCAAACCGCACTCTTTTCCATTGGTTGTTGTGACGTGTGTGTTCTTTTTTTTATTTGTACCCCTTTGTCACTCTTCATAGACCCGCAAGGTGCTTTCACCATTTTGTCGTACAGATATATAAACAATAACTGCTTTGTATTAGCGAAACTTTGTGGATGTTCAACTCTGTGTGTGCGTGTGTGTTGCGATGAAAAGTGGGTTTAAAAGAAAAACAACAAACAAAAAAATCCTACAAGGTAGAGTTTACAAATCAAAAAGTCAAGAAAAAAAAGTAGTCTTTTTGTAATTTTAGTGCTTCCTTAATTTCATCTATGCACTCAAACGAGGTAGTGCTTCTTTGGTCTGGCTTCTGCCTTCCTCTGGTATGTTGAAGGGGCTTTTGCTGCTGGGTTGTCAGACACAAACAAGTCCAACCCAGACTGTGCTACTTTGAAGTCGATGTGTGTAATATTTTTCTCATATTCCAGCTTAAATTGGGGCGACAACTGTTGAAATTCTTTACTAAAACATTGCTCTGTTCTATTGAGCAGCCTGACTAAACCAGTTGTAAGAGTATAGAGTGGGGCTTTTTTAGGCTGACCTATCAGAAAAGAGTTTGTGGTGCAGAAAAGCACATTTCACCTTTAACTCATTTTTTGGAAGGAGCGAAAGCAACCCAATCCAATGTCAAATAATCATCAAACTTCAAAACTGGTAGAATATGCCCATCAGATGTAAGTGTAGTCATATTAACAATTGCTTGATGAAATTTCTTTCCACAAATTGCTGTCATTTTGCCTAAGGAAAAACTTAAAGCCCTGATATATTTACTCCAAAAGTTCTTCTCTGTTATTCATTTAGGTGTAAAAATGTCATCCGAGCAATGATTTGCTGTTAGTAAACCTCCCCAAGTGACCCCCACACTGCTTAAAGCGACTTTAATGTTATTGGTGCTACATTTTCCATCCATTAACATAATAAACACTATCCAAAATTCATGCCAAAGGAGGCGGAGCCATCATAGCCATGTATTGCACATATTGATCCAATGCTAGTTGTCTTCAGGAAAGTTCACTTTAGCGAACTGCCTCAAACTCATCAAATCTACTTCATTTTTACCTGATTTTGTTCAAATTAGTTTGTTTTTTAATTTTGCCGTTTCTTTGCATAGATTTAATTCCCCTTTTGGTGTCATTGGCCCAGTCCAGTGGTAATTTATAGTTTACCAATTGAAGCAAGGTTAGCATTGCCAAGCTGCTTCAAACAAAAAAAAACTTTTTGTTATTTAATCATCGACCATTTTTCCCTCACAGATTTTGTTGCCCCAAAGCACACCTTCAGTCCCATCGCCCAGGACCAATGATAGCTTGTTACTTGTTAAATTAAGTAAACTTGTTTAATCAAGTCGTTATAAATAATATTCAAAATAAGCTCAGAAAGACAGAAAGTCAGTTCACAACAATTAAATCTCACCAAAATTCCCACTAGCGTGACCGCACTTTACTTCTCAGCCAATTGGTTTAGACTTAAAAGCACAGTCATGTGGTTGGACTCCTCCAGTAGCATTGCCCTCGCACAGCTCTAGGTGGTCCCGCACTGAAGCACTCCTATCGGCGGTTGAGAGAAGGGTGGCGGTAAACTAGGAGGAAGATCTTTCCAGAGCTCAATCTCATTAGAGACGCAGTCGCGTTTCTACTTTGTTTACATGTCACTCTCTCATCCTCTTTCTCTCTCTCTAAGCTCAAACACTCTTTTTTTACTCTCTCCTTTCTGACGGGGGATGAAGATCTGCGGGTTTTTTCTAGCTCTTACCTTGTGGCTACTGCTCTATTTGTCTTTTGTGTGTGTGTTTTTTGAAGTCTAAACATGTACCAGTGTATAACTGCGTGTCATCTGTGTCTTTTACGGGGTCTAGGGATGGGTCCGTCCCTTATTATTATTGTTATTATACGCTGGGACCGTTGCTTTTATTCTACAGGGTTTCCTTGTGGATCTAGTGCAGTTGTGAGCGAGAGTGTGCGCATGTATGGTTTGGAGTAGGCCGCCGGGTCTCTCTTTACTCTCCCCTTTATCCAGAAACACACACCCCTAACCTGAATGTTTACATGACTGAATTCTCTTTCGACTTTTACTAGAGCGCACACTAAGTACAGAACGCCTTATTCAGTGTTAAAGTACCCTATCAGGACGTTTCCCTTTTACGGTACCGAGCTGTTACCTTGACACGGCCTCTGAACACTGACCAATTTGCCCATCTTGAGAAAACAAGCTGAATGAGTGTTTGTGCTTAGTATGTCTACTACTAAACAAGCAAGAGATGTGCTGGTTTACATGATTATATATATATATATATAGAGAGAGAGACGTATATAATGTGTATATAGCACTGTGTCTTGTGTAATCATGAGATGTATGGTTATGTGCTGTACAGCGACGTGGTAACGTGTGGTTTTAAAGGGTGGATCTGATTGGTTTGTTGGTGAACCCCATGATGCAGCGTTAAGCAATACAGGGAAATCCAGAAGGGAACTTTTGTTGAAATGGCTTCATAAGTCAAACACAGTTATATATATATATATATGAAGTGTCTCTTTAGAAATGGTTCTTTTTAATGACTTTAATGTGTTTTCGTTTTATGCAATTGAGATGCAATACCGCTTAAGAGATCAGAGTGAGCCTTTCTCACTGGAGAGATTGGTCGTTTTAGGGGAAATTGGATCCTGTACTGTACGGTGTTGTAGACAGCTCAGATGGTTCGGGAAAAAAACGAAGGTTGACGGTTAAAAACCGCTGGCTTTCATTAGGAAAATACACAGACAGCCCAATCTCACAAGGAGAGCCTTAAACCCTAGGGGAAAACAAAGCTATCAATCCTATCTGATCTCCTTTACAATCCAATGTGTTTTCTTTACTGAAGTGAGTAAACTTTTTTCAATACAGCCATATTATAAAAGGTATATACATATATATATGATTATATATATATACATATATATTTGTGTGTTTGTGTAGATAAATATATAGATGATATAATTTGTTATAGACCATTTTATTCAGTGTTTCAGAACACTTCAATACATTTCAGCACTGTCAATCTAGAATGTACAGATCCAAATTAAAAATAATAATAAAAAAATAAAAAAAAAATAAAAAAAACTTCCAAAGGGAACCTTCTTCAATGCAATACATTTTTCCAGCCCTCATTTTAGCAATCGCTAGACAAGTTGACCAAAAAGTACATTTGATGTTTGGATACCGGAGAAGCGTGTGGTATAACATCAAATCCATTTCACGAATGTCATGATTGTTTGGCTTGATCCTGTGTGTGAGAGAGAGATTGAGTAAAGGAGCGCATGTGATTTCTTCCTTTTTTATTTTAGTTCATACAAAATGTCACTTCTATTTCACTACATATACAGCCCTGAAGTTTGTTGTTAACACAGTACACGCTCTTTCAAGATTGAAGAGAGTTTTCTGCTCGAATCAGATTCTGGGAAAGTTTATATCGTCTGTGCTAAACCTTGGATCCTTTTTTTTTTATCAAGAAGCGGATCTAGCATTTGTGTCATTATGGTGCCAGAGCATCAGTTAATGAATCGCACATCTATGTCGCATTGTTTTGCTGCTTTAAGACCTTGTCTTTTGTGGAAACAAAATCTGAGTCAAAGGGCATACATTGTTTTCTTCATTGACTTGTTTTTATTGATTTCGTTTTTTGACTATTTACATCTAATGACTATCAAATTCGCTATGATTTTCCTTTTTTTAACGTAGTTTTTTTTGGTAAATACTGATAGTAAGATTTTATATTTTTACATATATTGGTTTTGAGTTGTTTTTTTTTTATTTATATGCCACTTAGTTTGGATGTCTTGAAATGGTGTTGGTTTTATTTTCATTTCTTTTTCTCTGTATCGTGTGATTTTCATACATCATGAGAATGTGGAGACAAATGCATTTCAGTATTTTTAAATTGTTAAAATCTAGTTTCCTAGATCAAATCTATATAGTGGAAATTATTTGATGTCATAAATTATATTTTAATTCATGTAAATAGTTTTAAAAAAAGATGATGGCTTCCTTTTAAACTGAACACATTTCTCTTCTGAGATTGTTTACATTATTAAACTGTAGAAACTGATCCTCCTATACTGTAAAAAAAAAAAACAACAACAAAAAAGTACATATATTCATTGTTTTGCCTCCAAAAAAAAATAAAATCCATAATGAACAATATTCAACTTTGTATTGAATTCATGTGTTTGCATTACTGACCAGAAATATTCAATTCAATTCACCTTTATTTGTACAGCACTTTTACAATGTAGATTGTGTCAAAGGAGCTTCACATACTATAGAAGATCATAGTAAATAATAGTAAATAAAAATATTGTAAATATAAATATACAGTGGAGATCAAATCTAGAGAAGCTTTTGATCAGCATTTTTCATTAGTAATGCAATCAAGTTAAAACTCTGATGGAATTATTGTATTTGAAATATGCTAAAATATATTAAGGTTACAGATGTACCAATGTGGTTAAAAGCATATGGGCCTTTTAAGGGTTCAGCGTTCCACTAGTTTGATGATAAACATGATGTATTCCCTCAGTCCTAAACAGATTAAAGAAATAGACGTTATTACTAACCCTCGTTCCAATCCTCTGAGACTTTTACATCATAGGAACTGAGATATTTTAGATGAAATCCGAAAGCTCTCCCATTCTCCAAAGACAATAATGTTCACGAGAAGTCCAGAAAGGAAGCGTTGTTTTGCTCATAGTAAAAGTGCTAAAAAAGTGCACACATTTTTGGTTCCTTTTCTGGACTTTGAACATCTCAGGACCTCTGCTCTCCACGGAGGATGAGAGAGAGCTCTTGGGTTTCATCTAAAATATCTTAATTTGCTTTCCGAAAATGAATGAAGGTCTCGAGAGATTAGAACGAAACAAGGGTGAGCAATTAATAACATCATTTACTTTTTATAGTGAACTAACCCTTTAAAATTGCTTTCATCATTGAAATGGGCAGGTGTGTCTCTTTGTACTCACATCAGCAAATTATATATACACAAGTATACATCAGAACAACATCCTACCTTATGCCAAGCTCATTTTAGCATGGTTTGCAGATTAAGGAACTCGTTGACAAGTCTGGCTGTGATAGAGTAAAAAATCAGCGGGTGATCTGCTCTCTGCAATACTTATGTGCGAACTACTTAACAATGTATCAAAGAGGTTCGCTGGCAAAAAAAACAAACAAATATCTAGCATGCCGAATATCTGGATCAGTCGGCTGACTTGATATCATGTTATGTCAGGAGCAGCTAATGAAAGAGTAGTTATGGGTTGACTATTGTTCTACAACAAGAAAAACATCAGTGTGCACACGTCCAAATAATACTAAAAGGCAGGAGCTTGATTAAGGCAGACACAATTGAAAAAGCAAGAACACTGCCACTTTAGCTCTCAAAAACAAATTTAATATGACAACGTTTCCATGCAGGTTAAATCGTTATATTAAATTTGACCATTGTTCTCACATTACTCAACTTAAATGTCTGTTATTGGCATATTGGTAATATTAAACCATGTTCTTCACTGAGCAACATAAATGGAGGCTAAGTCTATCAGCTGAACTGCCCACAGATCCGCTGATGGATCAGCTGATAGGTGTGGATTTCAAACAATCTAGTGAACGCTTTCAGAGCTATAAAGGACCCTTAAAAGGGCACTTATAAAAGGCCAGACAGAATTATTTGCTATTTCTGCACAGAATTTTGTCAAATAAATAAATAATGAGAGCGTAGTAAATAAAAACTTAACATGATATGAAAAATTTGCTTTTTAACACAAATCCAATCAGAATCACTTATTTGGTAAACAAAGTAAGTCTCATATAGCTACTAAAAGACAGAAACTTTTACTTTTCAAACTGTATTGAACATAAATCAATTAAACATTTGCATATTATTCAATAATATTACTGGAATTAATGTAAAAACTGAGTAAATGTAGATTTAAACACATTTGCATAAGTATACATAGACCCAATGACTTCTGTATTTAATCTGGCCTTTTGATTAAAGGTTAATCTAGGCTTCTTTCTGCTGATGAGATGTTTGGTCACTGCTTATTATAGTCCAAATTCTCCCAAATGTTAAAACAATATGCCAAGACAAATCCTTATCCTGAATCGCTGAGCAATTCCAGCTGCAGTGTTGACCTGATTGATCATTGAGATTCTCCATATTATCCTGTTCTCTCGTGCATTTGTCTTTGGTGGACGACCAGTCTTTTTGTGGGACTTGAATGAGTTAGTGACATTGTAAAGATGCAATAATCTGGAAATCACAAATATGAAATGACTACCTTCTTGAGATGTGGCTGAAAGGTCGTCCCTTTGGCGTTCAACTGGACAACCTGCTTTTGGAGAGTTCCAGTCACTTTAAAAAAGGCCTAACATCTTGGAAAGTCAGTAAAAACTGTTAAGATAATCTGCCAGTTAAATAAGGTTTGCAAGATAATTATCACCAAGAGCCAGATTTACACTAATAAACGAGAAGTATCGTATAGTGGTCTTTTTTTTGTTTTATTTATTTCTTCTTTTTCTGTAAGGTAATAATTTTGAAACTCGTAGGCCCACACGGAATATGTGCGCACAGAATTCCGCAGAATTTCTGCAGAATTCCGCAGATTTTAGCCCATTATTAACTCTGTTTTTTAACTTGAGTAAATGTGTAAATCTGAATTTATTCAGTTTTTATTCAGTAATTTATTACTTTTTATTTATTATATTAAGGGTTTAGTTATGATACTCTGCTGGATACTCCCAAAATAATTCCGCAGAAATCTGCAGATTTTTACCAAAATTCTCAGCAGAAATGGCAAAAAACGTCCGCAGATTTCGTCTGGCCCTGCTCATGGCATATGCTTTAAAAACTCGTCATTTATTTAAATTTTAAGACTTTTTATTAAAAAAAATGTTACATACATACTGTTTGCTATGGAATGCAAAAACTTTGAAGCTCATTATCTCAAAATCATTCAGAATGCAGATAGAAACCTTATAATTCCAGAGTGACGAACTGCTCCTTCATTGCTCTTGGGAAACCTCAAACAGGACTAAGCGGTAACCTCGAAATATAGAAAATTGTAGGCTGTCTAATTCTGACCTTCACTTTACAATCAAGTAAACAGCGAGAATATCTTCCACAGAAATTAACACTTTTCTGTTTCAGAGCACGGAAGATGCTTGAAACCAAGCAGCACTTGCTTTAAGGCCGCCACTTTTTTTCCCTGATGTTCCGCATGACTATTTCATTGTACAAACAGAATAGCTCAACCGGAAACTGTCTGATTGGTTACTGCACTGAAATGCCAGCCAATTGCAAATGGCTTGCTCTGTTGTATCCATGCAGACCGTCTACAATTTTAGAATGTGCAGCTAATTGTGCCAGTTTCTTTCACTGAGGTTATGTAGCAGAACATGCTGAATGAAACCACTGTTAATGCAGCCATTCGGAGGGCTGGTGGCAATTTGCCGCTCTGTTGGTTTGTGATTCAGATGTCAGAATAATCATTCCCTACGGCACTGTGTGTGCGTGTGTGTGTGTGAGAGAGAGAAGGAGAGGAATGCACAGCTATCAGAGTAAGAATGCGTATTTGCCATCACGTCAGATCTTATTTTGGTTTTTGCGGTGGTTGCAGATTTTGACTCCACCTCTGCTGTGAGAGTGAGGAAAATGTAGCAGAAGACGTGACATCATAGTCATTGACGTGCAGTGACTGCGTCTGTGACATGACGTAAATGCTAGCACTGAGTCCGCCTATTTTTGCTGTCCTGCCAATCGGCTTTCATCCTTCCCAGTCGATTTGGCCAACACCCCCTAGGTGTTATCCAATGCTTTTGTAAGACTGTTATGTATGTCCCAGTGGGACAGTTAGTACTAGCACACATACACGCGTACAACTGCATCCTAGGGCAGAAGTCTTCTTTTGCACAGCAACAGAGTTAAGAAGCTTTTTTTAAAACAAGAAAATAGAAAGAGACTATGCTTAGCAGTTTTTCAGTTTATTTTTAGATTTCTACATATAAATATTAATGGAAAAATACAATATAGAATTAGCAAATGTATTCACAATATACTCCCATGTATGTTTTATTTCGTAAGAATGCTCTAGTCTGTACAGTTTCAGCCATAAAGTACTTAAATGCTTTAAAAATACCTTTCTATTGACAGTCATGGCTATTGTTGTAAAAGTCAAAGAGACATTGTAATAGTTTGTTTCTAACACTAAAGGGATGTCTTTACTTACAAGCTCAAGACTAGTACAAAACGATTTAACAGGACATCCTGCTGAGAGAAATAATAAAAGCGGTCCAAATTATGGGTACACTGTCGTACATTCTTACGATGTGTTTTTGTGCTGCTTGACGTCTAGGAAATGACACAGGTCTTGGACTGAGCTGCGGGTTGGACAGAGTTTCCTGTGGGAGAAGCACAGTTGTAAACATGCATATATATTTCTAACGGAACGGTTTACAAATTAAAGAAACAATATTTATTTATTGTGTACAAAACTATATTCTGTGGAATAAAAAAGGAGACATTTTGAAGAATGTCCATGCAGCTCTTTTTCATACATTAAATCAGTGTTTCTCAACCACGATCCTGGAGGACCACCAGCTCTGCACATTTTCAGTGTCTCCCTAACCAAACACACCTGATTCAGATCATCAGCTCATTAGCAGAGACTGAAACAACTGTAATGGGTGTGCCAAACAAAGGAGACATCCAAAACATGCAGTGCTGGTGATCCTCAAGGAAAGTGGTTGAGAAACAGCATTAAACACAAAAGGATAACTACGCAAAACAAGTAAAATCATACAATAGTTTTGTGCAAGAAACAAACTGAAGTTTGTGTAATTTATGGTGGCCGAGAGTGCAATTACAAAAAACGCCAGCAAATTATGAAAAGATCTTCATCCGTTTGACAGCAAAACGTTTTGAATGCAAACACATCTGTAAAAAACACTCTGCATTTTCACACAACGTAAACAAATTATTAAAACGCGCTACATTTTCTGACAATGCAAACTATTAGGAAATTGTGCTGCATTTTCTCACACTTTCAAAAACATCAAAACACAACGGAAATGTTTCAAGAGAACACAAAAATGTGAAGGATGCCGCAATGCTATGCCTATGGCTGCGTCCAAAACCGCATAATTCCATACTATAAAATATGCTAAAATCAGTATGCGAGCCCAGCAGTATGCCCGAATTCATAAAATTCAAAAATCAGTATGCGAGAAGAACCCGGTTGACCTACTACTTCCGGCAAGATTCTAAAGTGCGCATCCCATGCACGCAGCGCTTTCCCATGAGACACGAGAGAGAATTCATAATTGTGAGTGAAGCTACACAACTCATGAGGATAGGTCACGTGATCATGGTGGATGTAGTACGTCCGAATTCCAGTCATACTGCTCACATTCTTACTAAATAGAAGGCACTTTTCTAACCACCGAGTAGTACGTTTGATTCAAATTCAGTACCTACTGAGTAGTAGGCTGTTTTGAACGCAGCCTATTGCTCAGTAAAGTAGAGGGTGATCTTTGAAAGGTGAGTTTTTAGTTTGTTTATTTAAACATCCTGGTTCCCTTGTCATTTGTATTTTATTTGCCTAAATAACCATAACCTAAATAGACGAGTCTGTCACGGTTTAGGGTTCTCTAGAAAGATTTCTGCGGTGTTTCCGAGCTGTGATGAGTCATTCTTGAATGATTCATTCATTTTGAATGAATCTTTTGTAAGAGTCAAGAACAATGAGTCCTCTCAGGGAGTGATTTGTTTATTTGTGCATTCGCACATTTGTACAGGTGGAGAGGACTAGTTTCTTTCTCAATTCCTTGATAGGGTTTGAATCCTTTGATCATCACGAAAAAGACAGTAGCCAATCACATGCAGTCAGAGCCAGAAAAAGATCTGATTTGTTCATCACTCGAGTCCTCGGTTTGAGTCGTTCATTTATCACTTAAAAGACAGTGGCCAATCATGCATTTACAGCTAGAAAAATATTTGATCGGTTCATTTTTTTGAGTCCTCGGGTTTGAGTCATCTCTCTTCCTTTACATGTGGTCAAATGATGAACAAATGACTCAAAAACCAAAAGACACTAATTGTGAACTAAATTTGAACTAATCATGGCTCTTTTCAACTCAGACTGTGTGCATTGGTTAGGTTTATGGCTCTATCAGTGTGACCTGAACGAACTACTTAATTTTAAAGACCTGCCAGAAGAGGTGAGCTGATAAATTCATAGACTAAAGACCAGGTAAATAATAAATTATTATTTTCTCTTTCTTCCAGCATTTTAGTTACGACTTGACTGTAGTGTGATCAACGTTTGGGCTAGTTGTAGATGAGCTTGGAAGCAACTCGTAACATTTTAATAATATTGTGGTGAAATGAATGAAATAAAGATTCATTCATCTCAATTAACAAGACTCAAAGATCTAAGTCAGTAAAATGATCCAAACTTCCCATCACGAACTGTTTGTGTTGTGAGAAAGCGTAGCGCATTTTATTCATTTGTTTGTTTTGTGGGAAAATTCTGCATGTTTTTTAAATATGTGTTGTCAAACAGATGAAGATCTTTTCTTAGTTTGCTGGCGTTTTTTGCAATTGCATGTGTTTTCCTAAATTGAAGCACATTAAGTTCTCTTAGCCACCATAGTAATTTCCCAAAAGTCTTTTTTATCATGCTGTAAAAGAGCAGCGTGAATATTGTTCAAAGCATCTTCTTTTGTGTTCCACAGAATATCTCTTAATATACAACTTGTAAATAATTAATTAAATGTTATTTAGTGGTGAACTATTCCTTCAACAGACAATGAAACACTGCTTGATTGATCCTTTACCTTGTTTATGATCTGAGTTAGCATGTGCTTCTTCTTTAGCCTTTTTGGCCTCATCCAGCTTGGCTACTTTGGCCTCATGTATTTCCTTCAGTGCGTTCCATTCTTTTCTGTTGTTCAGCAGACGCTCCAGCATTGGTGTGATCTCCACATGGAAGCGAGAAAACTCCTGCAAGAGGGATGAGCAGTCAGTCAAGAGGGAGTCATGTTGGTGGGTTCAAACGTTGAGGAATTTCAGACATACTAGATGTTATTACATTTTAAAGGCTAGTCTAAGCATTTTTAGTGGTCATAAGATCAATTTTAATGTAAACAACTCATTTAAAGGGCTAGTTCACCTCAAAATGAAAATTCTGTTACTTTTTATTTACCATTACATTTAAAATCTAAATGAAATGTATCTTCAAACTACAAATGTAGATTTTTTTCATCAATCAGAGGGATTTATGGTGCACATTTGAAAGTCTACTCACCCAAAACTTTGACACTTCAAAATGTTTTTGAAGGATTTCTACAAGAACCAATGTTAAGCTTTTGTTTGAGTTTGAAGTTCAATGTTTATACGTAAATAAAGTCAAAATGAACCTACTTAATGACTTTCAAAATGACATTTAGTAAAAAAAAACATATGTGTATATTCCAGATCTTATATAAAAAAAGATTCTGTCACAAATATGAAAGAAATTATTAAAGCTCGGAATAACATGAGGGAAAATTATGACAATTTTTATTTTAAGGTGAACTGACCCTTTAATTACATTTATCAAACCACAACAAAACTTAGCAATACTGTATAGTAGGAGAGAAAATCAATCAAGTTGATCCTTAGGTTTACATTTCAATATAGTTACAATATAACAATACTTTCTGGATCTAGAACTTTTAATGCAGCTTAGAGGTGACATGAATGTATTTACACTGATAGAACAATTGCATGAAAAACACTGTGAGATTCATATTTTACAAATAAAATAAAAAAATAATAATAAAAAAAGAAATATGACTTTATAATAAAATTAACCTTCAAATATTAATCTACAGCTGCAAGAAAGTTGTAGAATGTCCAGATCCATATTCGATCAAAAAATCTAGGAAATTCTAGGAATGATTTATCTGTTAGCATAGATGTTTGCACATCCCTTGCACATCCTATCATTATATTATAGGCTAATATTGAAAAACTCAAATTTGTGAATGCTTTGAATGGTATGTAAATATTTCAAATAAAATAATAGTTGTTTTTTTATGCTTGAAAAAATTTCCCTAATCCATCCCTACTCATCTGACGCATTCTGACATTCTCAGTCAATAAAATTCAAGTACACCGACAACTGATCAAGACCAGCACTGTTTTTTTTCTGCTCATGATTATGTATCTGCTTCCTGATGGACTCTCGTCTGGATCCTGTGAACATTTAGAAGGGTAGATCAATGAAGCCTCATATGTCGTTTTGTTTGCTAATCGAAATGGAGGACCTCACCTTGTAAACGAAAGAACAGACGAAATCAATAAAACCACACTGCAGTTTGGGAAGTTCCTCCGCCTTGTTCCGGTCCATCATGGGCTGGAGAAGAAACATCGTGTACTTAATTCTGTATCAATATGAAAACACACTAGCTACCAATGCAAAAAACCACCATTACACATAGGAGTTCTGAAGATCAATTTCGAATAAAGTAGAAATATTTATGTTATGTTTTAGCATTTGGTTGGCTTTTTTCTTCAATAGTTGATATTTCACAATTCCTATCATGAATGAGGAAAACTGAGGGCTTGGAAGTGGTCTGTTTGACTGGGCCATTGTGACCGCTCTTTCTGATTCACTGCACCGCATAATAGGCAGTACATCACGACATGACCCATGGGAACTTTTCATTCTTACTCCTTTTTTTTTGTTCCCTCCTACCCCCCCTTCATTCCATGCAATCTCTCACAATGGGCTGCTGCTCCAGCACTGTCCTCTCCAGGTCACCCTGTTCCCAGAATTCAGCAGCAACAGACAGCGCCACCTAGAGGATAGAGCAAAAAGTAGCCTCAGTCAATAATAAGCTTAGATTTATGGTTATGATCTTTATAGATGCATTTGGAGAGATGTGAACATGGATTTTATGTGGAACAAGATTTCAAATATGTATTATAGATGAGACACTGCAGGTAAACCTTCCATGCAACTGCCAGAGATTCTGGGCTTTTCAAAAAGAGTATTTTTTTCAGTCTGATGTAAACAAAACATCTGTGGTCTGTTCTTCAGAAGTGGATTGCTTCATTAGCTGAATTAGCTTCTTCAAAACTTATCCAAGAGTTGTTGTTATAGCTACAGGTTTAGTAGCTCAAACCTGTGTGGGAGCAGGCTTATTTCATATAAACAGGATTAGGTTGGGTCTTTTCAGGCAATGGTAATACTGAAAGTATGTACTGAATGCTGATGTTTCCTCAAAGTAGTCACCTATAGATTACATACACTGGGGAAAATTGTAAAATGGTAAAAAAAAAAAAAAAAACTGTATATATACAGTGCATCCAGAAAGTATTCATAGTGCTTCACTTGTTCCACATTTTTTTTATGTTACAGCCTTATTCCAAAATTAATTAAATTTATTTATTTCCTCAACATTCTACATACCATACAAAATAATGACAATATGAATTTATTAAAAATAAAAAAAACCTGAAAAATCACATATACATAAGTAATACAGCCTTCGCTCAATATTTTGTTGATGCACCTTTGGCAGCAATTACAGCCTCAAGTCTTTTTGAATAAGCTTGGCACACCTGTCTTTGGGAATTTTTGCCCAGTACCTCTCAAGCTCTACCAGGTTGGATGGTAAGCGACGGTGTACAGCCATTTTCAGATCTCTCCAGAGATGACTGAGATCTGGGTTCTTGCTGGGCCACTCAAGGACATTCCCCAAGTTGTTGTGAAGCCACTCCATTGATATTTTAGCTCTGTTTTAGTTCATAGTATACACACGCACACAGATAAACACACACACACAATGGCAAACTCTCTTAAAGGAGCCGCACCCCATTTTCACTCGTTGCAGACACTTGTCAGATTTTATTTTAGAGAGCGGGCATGAGGTTGACTGACTTAATGGAGCTGATCCACGAATCGCAGCACATTATGACACATGACCAAACAGAGTCACTTTAGGACGGGCCTTTTAGAGGAACTAGGAAATATAACAGTCGTTTTCATGTTAGTTGAGTAGCTGTTCATAATCAAAGTGAGATTAATGAAAAAATAACACATTTCCTTTAAGTGAAACATGAGCACACATTTCTTTGCATCTTATTAACACAACCAGGCCTTAAAATTACATTCCACCGCTTTAATAAACAGTTTACTAAGCGTTTTATATAATTTTGCTAACAGGGATAATTGAATATTAATCAGATGATGTCATTTCGCTGCTGTGCCGTCAGCCAATTGTTGCAATGCTGATCGTGATTTTGAGGATTGAGAGATCTGTCCTTCATACCACACTCTGCGATCTCAGATCAATTCATCCAGACATTTCAATCTGATTCACAAACTTGTATTAAAAACCAAATTAGCCAAAAATCAGTTATCAAGATTAAAAGATCCAGGATCTGCCAAATTATCTTAGAGCATTTAAGTAGGGTACAAAAAACAGACACCAGGAATACAATTATAAATGTTTCCATTGTCAAATTTGATCAAAAACAACAAGGCAGTTCTTTTCCTCAAATTCAGCGTTTAGCAATTGTTTTATTCAACAAGGTTTTTATAGAGGGATATGTTTATATATGTTCATCCATATTTTATCTAATAGCTTGCAACAGTTTATTTATTCAGTGCTCAGTCTGTGAACACTAATTACTATCACATATACCAGAAAATAATCATTAGCATATTTAAAAAACATTTTAGATTTAGAACTTAATGGGACAGTTCACCTAAAATTAAAATGTACACAATATTTATGCACCCTTAAATGGTTTTAAACTTTTATGAGTTTCTTTTTTGTGTTTAACACAAAAGAAGATATATTGAAGAAAGCTGAAAACCTCAGCTAATAATATAAAATAATATCAATGGCTACATGTGTTCAGCTTTCTTTAAAATATCTTCTGTGCTCAGCAAAACAAATGTGAACTCAAACAAGTTTGGAACAAGTGGAGGGACTTGTAAAAGATAACATAATTACATTTTTGGGTGAACTATCTCATTAATACATATATGTTTTTTTCCATTCCTAATGTAATCAATAAATTGAGGAAGTATTGCAATACTATTAGATAATTGTATTACCCTTTTCACAAGCAGTGTCTTGCCTTAAACAAGAAGCAGAAATCGCTACATAATTTCCTCTGAGAGAGATCTGGCACACGTCCCATTTGCAGCTATGAAATTTGGCTCAACCGCCATTGTTCTTAGATCTACTTCCATGAATATAATAATATCATTACCAAAAAAATTGCTCAAGCACTGTTCGTTTTTTAAAAATGCATGGCATCCAGCACCAGGTATGTGAAATGATCTACAGTGCCGTCTGCTGTGAAATGCATATAATAATGAGTGTTAAACAATGAATGTAAACAACCCATCCATGGCTACATTACCATATGAATAGGGCTTCAAACTCATTATGCCGGCTTGAGAGCCCAGCGATTTCATTTTCCTATGCAGTCACACCCTTGGCTACCCTACATGTTTGAATATATTGCTGTAGTATCAGGCCTTGTGTGTGTGACACTGCATTATGCATTAGGAATATCTAACCTTGCTCTGAATCTCCCATGGCTTGGCGATGGCTGACAAATCACAGGCAGTCATCATCATAGCCCTGCGGTGAGGAAAACCAAAACACCATGCAGTCAATTCATATTTATGAACCCTAAATGGCACCAAATGCTGGTCGCCGCATATTATCTTTTGCAGGTATATAAATCAGCTTATTGGCCCAACAGATTTTATGGGTAATATTAGGTTCTTTTCTCACATGACAATCTCTTTCCGAGTGGTTTCCAACATCATGTATTTGGTCCAACTGTCCCAGCTGTCGTAGGTCTTAGACTGATCCACAATCTTCTGAAACATGGTCCTTTTCCTGTGGAAGAACATCACAAGTAGATACTTAATGTTAGGGCCTGTGAGATTTGGTTTTAGGTGTTTTTTGGCAACGTAATCACAAATGGACAACACTAAATATAGGGACAAATGGGTTTTTGAGAATAATAACTACTTCTGACCACGTCCAGAGGTAACTGAAAATCCATTTGACCAGATTGCTTTTATAATCAGGGTTCTTACACCTTTACCAAAGTCAAATTTGGAAAACTATGGCTAATACATATACATTTTTCATCCCATTATATGTGATGCTAGTTGTTATTTATTCTATAGTATATAATACAATCACCGGCCACAATTTGGGTACACCTTACTAGTACCAGGTTGAGTCCCTTTTGCCTTCAGAACTGCCTTAATCCTTCATGGCATAGATTCAACAAGGTACTGGAAATATTTCTCAGAGATTTTGGTCCATATTGACATGATAGCATCATACAGTTGCTGCAGATTTGTTGGCTGCACATCCATGATGTGAATCTCCCGTTCCACTACATCCCAAGGATGCTCTATTGGATTGAGTTCTGGTGACTGTGGAGGCCATTTGAGTAGATTAAACTTATTTTAATTAATTAAATCAGGCTTTATGACATGGCACATTCTCCTGCTTGAAGTAGCCATCAGAAAATGGGTACACTGTGGTCATAATGGGATGGACAGGGTCAGCAACAATACTCAGGAAGGCTGTGGTGTTGACATGATGCTCAACTAATGTACCAAGAAAATATTCAATTCAATTCAATTCAATTCAGCTTTATTTGTATAGCGCTTTTACAATGTAGATTGTGTCAAAGCAGCTTCACATAAATGGTCAAATAAATGGTCAAAAAAAAAATATCCCCCACACCATTACACCACCACCAGCAGTCTGAACCGTTGATACAAGGCAGGATGGATCCATGCTTTCATGTTGTTGATGCCAAATTCTGCAAAAATCAAGACTTATGAGACCAGGCAACGATTTTCCAATATTCTATTGTCCAATATTGGTGAGCCTGTGTGAATTTTAGCCTCAGTTTCCTGTTCTTAGCTGACAGGAGTGGCACTCGGTGTGGTCTTTTGCTGCAGTAACACATCCACCTCAAGGTTTGACGTGTTTTGCGTTAAGAGATGCTTTATTGCATAACTCGGTTGAAACAAGTGGTTATTTGAACTACTGTTGCCTATCTATTATGCTGAACCAGTCTGGCCATTCTTCTCTGACCTCTAGCATCAACAATGTATTTGCGCCCCCAGAACTGCCGCTCACTGGATATTTTCTGTTTTTCGAACAATTCTGAGTAAACTCTAGAGATGGTTGTGCATGAAAATTGCAGTAGATCAGTAGTTTCTCAAATACTCAGCCCAGCCCTTCTGGCACAAACAACCATGCCACGCTCAAAGTCACTTAAATCACATTTCACCCCCATTCTGATGCTTGAATTGAACTGCAGCAGATCGTCTTGAACATGTCAACACACCTAAATGCATTCAGTTGCTACCATGCAATTAGACATATGCGTTAATGAGCAGCTAGACGAGTGTACCTAATAAAGTGGCTGGTGAGTGTAGTATTCTAAGAAAAATGTTGATGGTATGTTGGCCACAAACACAACATTGAATAATCATTTATTCTCTTAAATATAATTTACTTGCATCTTAAAAATATCACCTTTGATCTTAAATGTATTTTAATTTTAATCATAAAGGGCACAGATAAAAACATGCGCTATAGGCACTTGCACAGACTCCAGTGTTTTCAATTTAAGTAAAAGCATATACTTTTATTGTATTTAAATCCTTAATTATTATTATTATTATTATTATTATTAGGCAAGACAAATTATTACAAAAGCAACACAAAGCATTTTCAAGAAGTTCTAGCACCCTTGAACCCAGCATAATCTAAAATATAAAAGTAAAAACTACAAAAAATATACTCTCTGCTTACTGACCCAATTTCTCGCAAACATCATGGGGCATGTCGTTAAGGCATGCTAGTTAGAGTGGATTTCTAGAGTAGATAGTCCTGTCACAATAATCAATTTATCGACTTATCACACAACACATATAAATGTCCTCAATAATTGTTGGTGATGCAATATAAATTGCCCATACATAAAAAACAACTCTAGCCACAATTTTACTGATTTCACAGCCTCTCTATCTCTATTGGAGGTGTCAGTATCAGTATGGTTAAAAACACTTTAGTACAAAAGGATCTATTACTTTTTTTTCTAGATGATTTTTTTATGTTGGACATTTTTCTTAACATTTATGTTTATTGTTTATTTGTTTAGAAAATAGGTTTTCACATTCTGTTTTCAATGCCTAATTATGAAATTGTCAAAATTACTATGATTAAATGAAATATTCTTAAAAATAAAATGAGTGTTCTTTTGAAGAGTGTACATGCATGATGCTATTACAGTGTCAAAGTGGACTTAAAATGACAATAATATTGTTTATTGCAATACATTTTGGCGACATATCTCGCACAACAAAAATAGATTTTGTGACAGGTCTATTTGAAGGTGAAAAATATATACAAAAATCACAATAATCTCTGAACAGTCCGGATTCTAAAGACCTTGACACACCAAGCTGTCAGTGGGCTATCAGCCAATGTCAGGTCATCAGCGAGGATTTGTTTGGCTAATTAGTTAGGTGTGATTTCCCATTAAGCTTCAGTTCAGCAAGCAAATTAGAGCATGACGAGAAAAACTGAAGTGGTGAAAACAAGCAAACAATGAATTCAAGAGGGAACACAAAGAATCCTGCTGCCATTTTGTCACATTTCTCATTAAATATTTAATATACAAGGTATCTGCTCAAGTGAATCTCTTGGTGTTGAATGAAAATGCTAGTAATTGAAAGATGCTGCACTTCATATCTTTTTTTCTCTTGTTTTTCTTTTGCATTTCTAAAAGACTGTGCAAGGTCATTTCAAAATACACTATAGAAAAATGTGAAAAATACTATTTACACACCCACGTACCCTTTTAAAATATCAGGAAATTGGAAAAAGTGCACTAATGTGATGGATTAAAACAGTAGGTGTTAATAGGAATGTGGTTCTCTCATCTACTGGTGAGCCAACTGAACAAAATGCATCTTAATACAAGGTGTAAACAGGGTCTTAATCATTATGCAGCTCTAACCGCCTCTAACTGCAAGGCTAACTCTGAATAAATGATTCACGAAATCAAAGTACATCCCACAGGGTTGAAAAATAAATTTCTTACTTGAAATACAAGGCCAAGTCTGTTGCGATGATAGCAATGTCCATCAAATGGATGACGGTTTCGTGCTGTCTTCTGTTCAGATTCTGGTAGATATTTAAGGCCTTGGAAAACAAATTATTTCCGTGAGGAAAATGCTGGCTGTGAGTGAGGAGGCAGTTATTTATGGAGCTTATCAACTAGATGCACATTCTCAATAGTCTGCAGAGTTCAAAAAGATAATCATAGCTGACACCGTTTGAAAAATCCCTAAAATGTAATTAATTTTGGCATTACCTCGTCTCTAAGCAGAGTTTTTCCAAATTCCAGATGGTGCCTCTCGAGAATGGAGGAACCATGCAGCTTTGCTAGTGGATTCCCAGATCTGTCAAAATAATCAGAGAAAGCAATTCTCAAAACCCAGAAGGTCACACTTCCCATAAAATATATATTCAAATAAGCAAACTGCAATCTAATACATTATTTTGCATGAATTTAACATGGTCATTTAACATGAAAAATTACTCAAATGTAAGTGCTGAGTTTGAAAAGTGTATTTTTACAGCCATCCTCTACCAACTCTCATTTCATTCTATACATGTCACTTTTACAAAGATGACCATACAATAATTTTGATAGGTTAATAAAACAAATGCATATTTGGTTGAGGTGGACAAACTTTTCATCAATGTGCAAGCTGGCATTATTAGGTGAAAAAGCATTTGAAAGTGACATCATCTCACAAGCAAGAATGCAATTTTCCTGAATGCAAGTAAGTGTGCATGATAGAAATGTAATACTGATTTTAAAAAGAAATCAAACTAATTGTCAACTTAATATTATGTGATTATCACTTTACACACAATATTGTGCAATTTTCTGCTCTGGCTTTGTTTAGAAAATTTTTTGTTGGCAGATCAGAACATTGTACTGTTTGTAAAAAAATTGTGCATCTCACAGCAACACCACAATGTTTCATTCCAGAATTAATCTTTTTTCTTTTTTGAATCAATGATCCAATTATCTATTGTCAAAGAGCCAATTGTGTTTTGAATGATATAAATGAGTGAATGATCCATTTACAAAGAGCCATTTGTGTTTCATTCATTCATTTATTTTCTTTCAGCTTAGTCCCTGATTTATCAGAGGTTGCCACAGTGGAATGAACCATCAACTATGCCGGCATATGTTTGAATCATAAAGGGCTCTATTTTAAAGATCTAGGTGCAAAGTGTAAAGCGTGTGGTTCAAAAGTATTAAGGGCATGCCTGAATCTACTTTTGCTATTTTTAGGAGGCATGGTCTAACAGGGTTGTGCTTATTTTCTTAATGAGTTCTGGGTGTGTTTTGTGCATAACATGCATTAAACCATTCAGAGTCTCACCTTCCATTCCTTTTAAAAGTCAGTTGTGTCGCACCATAGTGCATTTGCAATTTACATGCTGGACTTTGTAAATGGAAAAACTGAATGCTTCGCTAGTGAGAAAACAGTTAAATAGACCATCTGCAGTACGAGGATAAAGAATAAGCCTCCTCCATTCGGCCTCTTTACTTTTTCTTTCTCTTCACTTACTCTTTACTTTACTCCTTTACCTTCATGGATAAGAAAATAGTGTTATACGCACTCCACTGAAGACATCCATCAGCCTACATATTTTTTTTTTTTGTTGAGTACAAAGATTTGTTTGAAAAATATTTCAAAATTTTGTTCGAATTTTCAGCAAACTAATAAATGAACAACAATAATTAAGTGTGCTCAAAAACCTGAGCAAATATAAATATGCATATAATAAATACTACTATTACTACTACTTATAATAATAACATTATACAAATGCAAATTGTCATGAATAAACTGAAAAAAGCCCTCAAAGACGAAGAAGGCATTGAAGCAGTGGTTTTTATATTTATGTAGGTGCAAAACATGAAAATTATTGTTGCGCTGGTTTGAAAATAGCAACGAATTGCGCCGAACATGTTTTGCGTCTTATTGCGCTGAGTGTATGATAGGGCCCTGATTTAGTGAGCCAGCGACTTGTCACCCCCTACTGCTGGTAGTAGTGTTCATATTTATTTGATCCACAAGAGAAACCACCAAGGTACAAAAACATTAAGCAAATTATCATTTCAATTATTGTTATCCTTAAGCAAATATAAATATAATCCATTATATAATTTACAATTCAGCTAAGATTGAAACTCCTGTCTGTCTGCACGGTAAACTAAAATGCCCTCACAAAACTTGCTGTACATCTATATAAATTAATAAATAAATAGTTTACATTGAAATGTATGAATGATTCATTTACCAGTTGTTAGAAAGGCTTTTTTACTTTACAGATGTGAGGCAGCCTCCAAAAATATGTGTGTGACACCCCTGGTGGTGATTTAAAAGTGCGAATGCCTTCACCCAGTATTTCTGAACTATGTTACACATATACATTTTTCAATACTAAGAACAGTAGGACATTGACAGTAATGAGTGCATACTTCATCTGGTAGAGGTTGTTAGTGCCACGGTGGTCAATATCATGACAGAGTCCAGCGGTCACCATCGCCATCGCCTCCAGGTCCGTATAGTAACGCTTCAGGTCACCTGTCTGAAATAACATTACAACTGGTTTAATAGGCTTCAAGTTGGAGCATCCTCAACACACACACCCTGCTCTTGTAGAGCTTAATGCTGACTAGTGAGGGCTCATTAGACTCTGTGAAGCATGGGAGTAGTGCTGAGAAAGGCTCATTAGCAGCCTGGCTTGCGTTTCTTGCGGCCTTCCAACACTCCTTCCTTCCTGACGAACGGCCAGATCACTGTGATTACACATGACTTAACCAGGAGCAGGTTTACACTTCACTGATTAATTTGAAGGGGCCGTCTGCCATTTCAGAGAATATGTGCTAGAGGTGGGCTGTATCATTAAACAAGTTTTCTTATAAAGATCCATGAATCCAGCACACAACCAACCATTAGGGTAAATTTATCAAATGCCCAGTTACAAGGCTAACAAGCTTGTTCAAACATTTTTCATGTTTGTTAGTGTAAATGGCAAGGTCTGACTAGTCAATGATGAGCAAGATGAAGCCTCATAGCTGAGATGAGGAGTTTTTTTGAGAGCTGCCTTAATAGAGTCTAGAATGGAAACGTTTGTAATGTCATTGTGTAAGGGTTTTCTCCTACCATAAGCAGTGTAAACATGGTCTGGCCAACGTTGAAGCCATGCCTCCAGTTGTGGTAGGTAATCTTCCTGTAGCCTTTGCTGACAGAATACACAAAACGCACCAGAGTCTAGAAAAACAAATTGTTTCATGTTTTCATAAAAGGCACTGTGGAAATCATGATGAAAGTTTATTTATAATGCAAAATACATTTAAAGACTTCAAATCATCATAGGCTTTAGAATTTAACATATTATTAAAGTAACACTTTATTTGAAGGGGGGTGTTCATAAGACATTAAACATTTATAATCATGACTTGACACGTCATAAATGCGAATGAGATTTTATACATGCTTATAACAGTCATTAAGTGTCATTCGGTCACTTATTGTCAGGGTTCTGCCACTCTGGTCTTGTAAGTTCTTGTTTTGGTGGCAGAGCTCGAACACTAGTTCTGTCTTGTCCTGTTTCTGTCATTGTGTGTCTCTGTGTGCGCGTGCGCCGTCATGGGTGTATGCAGAGTGTGCGCGCTCCCGCTTGATGCGGCCACGTCGGCTCTGCGTACCTCGGACGCGCACGATTTTGTACTCGTGTTTGTGTTTTCGTCTATCTGCAGCGTGGTGTTTCATTCCCAGCGTCTCAGTGTAGTTGTTTTTGGTTTTGGTCGGCGCTGGGATGAAACATGCACGCTGCATTTGTGAGTGCACGGTGAGTGTTTTCATTCATCGTGTACTCGTGTCTTGCGTTCAGTCTTCTGTTGGTGTTGTGTTTAGCACGTGGTGCGTGTTTACATGCACCGCGTGCTTGTGTTGTTATGAACACGCAGTTAATGATTTATCTCATTGGCTGCATGTTCTAGTCTTGTTTTATGTGAGCGCATGGCTTGTGTTGTCTCTTTGTGTCATGTGCTCTCCCGTCTATTGTATAGTCCCACCCTCCTTGTTAACCTATTATTAGTTAATTATGTTCATCTGTTTGTGTGTTAATTTCCTACAGTTTATAACCCCCTCATGTCTGCTGTCCTGTGCCAGTTCGTCGTCGATCTTTCCCTGTCCTGCTATGTCCAGCCCTGCCTTGTCTTGCCTGCCCAGTCAAGTTGGTTTGTTTATTTGTATTATTTGTGTTTTCCCCCTCGGGGTAGTTTGTTTTGCCTTTTTGCTTTATTTGTACTTTAATATTAATAAAACCCATTATTTGTTGCAATTAAGTCCTCGCTCCCTCATCCTTCCTAAAACCTTGACGCTTATGACATTTTAAAAACAAAAGTGACATCAGCTATGTTTCCATGCAAAAATGCAAATTAACTTAATGTGCCAAACTGGATTATCACGTAAAAGGTGCAAATCAAGCAGCGTTTCCATCCAATGAGTCAAACCGAAAAAAATCACAATTTCCTGATTATCTGGCGCTAAATATCAACTGTAAAAACAGAATGTGCTGCAGTAGAAGCTGCATGAATCTTTTTCTCTTTTAATAGATAACTTGCGACTCAGAAGGCAATCCTGACACGTAGTAAATGCGGTGTGGCGTTTGAAGTCATGAGACGGGAAGCACAGACGCTCTTGATTCTGGAGGTCATTAATATTATAATACTAATACTGAAATGGTTAAGGCATTTTAGAATGATCAAAACAACATTTCAGATGTTTTACAATGTGCTCAGCCTGCTGGTTTGTTTATTCACATAAATTTTCACCATCACATGATCTTTTATAACAAAATCACATGACCCTTGTTAATACACGTTCAGGAATTTGTTCAGTTAAAGTGTTTTGAAGGAATAAAATTACAGTCTAATGCTTCGTTTGTTTTATATATGCATGCTCATGCTTATTATGCATATGTATATGTGTTTGCTTGAACCATAATAATCTAATGAGTCCATGCAGTGATATGATGAGACATTCTGTTTGACCTTAGAATGAGACATGAACTTTCCACCCCTATAATGTTAAATAACTAAATCTATAACAAAGAAGTCCTGCAGAAAGTCCCTGTCTGGGTTGCAGCTGTGATGTGTGACTTTTCTATACAGAAAGGAGAACTGGAGCAGATGAGAAAAATATTGTTTTATTGTCTTACTAATCAATCTTTTTTTTTTATGTATTTTTGTTATTAGAGGAATATACTCCCATTTGCCTCACTGTTCATTCTTTACTATATGTGTTTTTGTCAGATATGATGATGTCTAACCATTTTTCCTGATACAGAGTATTTTTACTTAACCCCTGTTATAATGTGTTTCTAACTAACTGCTAAAACCACAAGAGCTATGTGTAGGTGTTGGCTGGAGACAGAGCTGCAGAGGGGCTTCCTCTAGACGGGTGCATACACAGGTCAAGAGTTTATAGACAGGGCTAGGAGGAAAAGCAGATGTGGGTAGATGCAGCACCGAGTTGCATCATCTTTTGTACTGTTGTGTGTATGTATCTCTGTGTGCAGACCACATAGACCTTTAAGAGATGATTCTGCCTGAGAACAGCTGATGGCAACAACAGAGATTGGGATTAACTGCTCGGAGGAGTGGCAAAGGAGATCTGACACTGCTGATGGATAAAAGCACGGAGGCCAAAGAGTTCGAGAGCTTTTGGACATCCAGACTGCTTGGTTGACAATTCTTCAAAAGCCCAGGATCCTGATCTTCGCTTTATACATTCATTTATACATTCATACACATTCGCTTTTGATTCATTGACACCTGACCGATTACTGAATTGGGGTGGACTAAGGGAAGTGAGAAATAGTCCAACATAGTTTAAATCGTAGTTTATGCACATCTTTTCTTTTTGAACAAAAATGTTATCCTTCTCAGTTATACACGTTTTTTATGTGCATTTTCAAAGTTTATGCGCATCTTGCCGTTTCCATCAACCGTTTTTTTATGTGCATATCCAAAATGCACATAAAAAAAGGTGGTTGGAAATGTAGCTATTGTTTGTCATGACAATTTGACAAACAAATCACACAACATACCCGTTTTTGTCTGTCATGACACATTCACATTACCAAGACAACAAAATTTGTCATAAATCTGTCATAAACATGATTAGAATAAAACCACTATAAATAACCCTATGATGCCTCATGAAAATCATGTTCATGACAGACTTATGACAAGTTATGATGTCTTGGTAAAGTCAAGTTGTCATGACAATGATGAAGACTTCTTGTGGTTGTGATTGTTGATGTCCAAATATCTATGGTTTATGTCAAGTTGTTATACAAAAACAATGACATTTTTGCATTTAAAATGACAATTGAGCAAGTGACACTTAAAAACAGTCATAAGCATGCATACAATCTCATTCCCATTCATGTCATGATTATAAAACGTTCACGAGAGTCTTATGAACACCCCTTCAAGTAAAGCGTTACTTTATTATGTTTTATATAAGGGCACAGTATGCAGTTTTAGAAAGCAGCAAACAAAGGTGTAATTTGATGATGCCGTGACTGAGCGAGGAATCATGGGAGTTTATCACATCCCATGTGAATCCTGCTGAAAATCATGTTCATGGATGACAAGTATTCAATTATGATAATCATTATCACATGGTAGTATTAAGCAGAGTAAGGCTGAAAGCTGTCGAAGTGCAATGAGACTGCCGAGGTAATTGCTCAAGAGAGACGAGTGCCACAAAAACAGAAAAGCTGTTATTATGCCACAGTTGACCACATCCGGTTTTTCCAGTTGTGTGTCGTTGTTTTATAAAAGTAATCTTTTTTAGGTTTTTGTTATAATGCTGCTTTATGAAATTTATTAAAACACACAAAATAGTAAAGTGCCATTGGCGTTTGTGTTCCCGGTCTATTTTTAAAATGGCTTATTTCTCAGATTTTTGGGTAAGTACACAAGTCAGCAAATTATATAACACAGTTCTAATGGTGGGTGGAACGGTGGCTCAATGGTTAACACTGCCACTTCACAGCAAGAAGGAAGGGTATTCACTGCATAAAAGATATGCTGGAATAGGTGGCGGTTCATTCTGCTGTGGTGACCCCTGATAAATAAGGGACTAAGCCAAAGTAAAATAATGAATGAATGAATATTATAATGGTTTTTGGATATTTTAATGAAAACAAATCCCTAAAAAAAAGTGCCTTAAAAAAGAAAAAATCATTAAAATTAAGTTTTGGCTATTCTAAATATATATATTTAAGTAAGTAAGTAAGTAAATAAATAAATAAAATGGCACCAGGGGATTTGGTAGCAAGTAAGATCTCTCATAATCTTTAAAAAATATTGTTGCTCACCTCCCGTGGAATATGGAACTTGTCTACCACTCCCAGCTCATAGTACATCTTGATGCCACACTTCACGAGGTCCAGTTCACTGAATTCAAAGTCACAGAAGTGAAACTCAAAGATCTCAGATTCTTCAGAGTCTGGCAGCACTTCATTCTATAGAGAAAAAAACAGCATGAAAACAGCAATAAAACAACAAGACTATAAACCAAACATCATTAGCGCGTGTTTGTGTGTGCTTTACCAGAATATCTTCCAGCTCGTCCTCTTCACATTCGTCAGGCTCTTTATCATACATCTCACGTGTGTTCTGAACAAAAACACAGTTTCCCATTGCTGATGCACTTAGATTCTCATTCAATGTTCATACAACCACTTTTAATCAGGCTATCAATCACAGAGACATATAGGACAGCACTGCTCTTCCACATGATCAGGATTCTTCATGTCGTACAAATAGGATGTCCTGCCATTACCAGCATTACCAATGTACTGTAATTTATTTTAATTAGTGCACACTAGAGATTAAAACATGTCAACCCACCAAGATATTCTGAATCTCATCCTTCCTGCATTTGACGTGGTACATGACCATGTCCTGAAAGATGTCCTTACGATTTTCTAGCTTGTTCATCTTATCGTATGTGTCTGTATTCAGCACTGACCATCCCAGGAACTGAGTGAGAGACTGAAATAAATAAGGATTCGGGTTTAGATTCACCTTTAAGTTGAGATTTAATTTCAGATTCAAATTTGATAAAACAATTTTCTTTACATTTATGTTCTCATTTAGGTTAAGATTCTGGTTTAAATTCACATTCAAATTCAGGTTTGACTTCACATTTATATTCACGTTCAAATTTAAGATGAGTTTCAGATTCACATTTACTGTAGACTGAGAATCTTATTTAGATTCAATTTAGATTTACAAAATGTTAAAAATAATGTTTACAATTAGGTTAAGATTCATATCAGGATTTAAAATTCACATTTAAACAAACATCTTAAGTTCAGATTCATATTTACACTCAGGTTTACATTTAAATTGAGATTGAGGTTACGGCATAAAGTCCACATAAAGTCCATGTAAAGTTAACTATTAGCTAGTTTGTAACTAAATTAGTTTTTACTTTGGATGCACCACATATTCTTAGGGCAAACTGTAGTTAGTGGGCCGTAAGCTCTCTGTAAAGTCATGTGTAGTCACATTGAATGACGTAATATCCAATAAGAAGCATTTAAATCATTAAACTGCTTTAATATTCTGTAACTAATGTGTCTATACATAATTTTCCTTTAAAAAAAAAGGAAATGACAAATTACATTTTTATAGAACATGATTACATTATAGTCTGTCACTTTAGCAGATGACGCACATACCAGCATTGTGAGCCACGAATGCACGCAAAATACACATGAAGTTATGAAAACTTTAAACTAGATTTTATTTATATATCATGAAAGAGAAAAGAGCAGGGAGAAGAACTCAGTCATAAAAAAAATTCTTGTTTTAATTGATGGATACAATTAACAGAAAACACTCCTTGAAAGAAAATTAAACTCTTCTTTCACAAACTAAAACAATGCAAGATTTAGGAGGAAATTAAAGTTTTGAGTAGAAGGAGATCATTCTTCATTATCATATCGCAAGCTCCTCAAAGTAAACTAATCTGGCTGTCGTCTCTTTTCCACCATTATACATGGGGGAGGCTGCTAAATATTTAGTTGGAACGTAGCGTTACGTTTAAACTAAGTTCAGTAGTGCCACAAAAATATTTAGGTGTATGTAAGTTATAACTTAGCGTCCCTTTAAGTCACAACTAGGCTACGTTTTAACTCACGCACTGCTGGTGCAATTGGCCACAGGTCCAGATGTTAATTCAGATGCAGGTTTAGAATTCATATTTATTCTTTGGTTGAGATTTAGAGTTAGATTTAGATGCCATTCAAAATAGAGTTCAGGCTGATAATAAAATCGATATTCAGGTTTAGTTTTAAATTCAGTTTAAAATTCAGATTAAATTAATCAGATTAAATTTCAGATTGAATTTCAGATTACATCTCACTTTAAGATTGAGATTCAAACTCAAACATTTAAACTTATGTTTAGATTAAGATTTGCATTCAGGTTCAAATAAACTGTAGATTAAGATTCAGGTTCAAATACGTATTAAGTTTCATATTTACGCTTAGGTTCACATTTAGGATGAATTCAGGTTCACATTTACTAGACATGCAGGTTTAGATCTAAATTTCGTTCCCATTTTAGAATCATACATATATTAATGTTTATTTTCTGGTTGAGGTTTATGGATTTAGATTCAGAAAAAAGTTGATTCAGGTTCTGATTCATTTCAATTAAATATAAGATGTATTTTCAAACTGTTCCAATTGACACTGAGATAAAATTACACACGTCCAAATGTTTTTTTCCAACTCAAACGCCCTCAGAAAAACTGGGCACTTTTTTGAGTTTTAAAACTTTGGTTTAGTGATTTAATTCAATCCTACCAAGCTAAGCATAATAGACTAAGAACATTGCAAACTTTCAAGGGGCAAACACACCGTGAATGAATAATGCAGTGTCTGCCGATCCATCCATTACTGTAAATTTAGCCATGACACACTACTGGTCTATACTGTGGCCTCAAATACCTCCATTAGCGTTTCGTCCATTTCATCGAAAGGCTTTCCATCTTTCCTGTTATAGAACGTGGCCACGCCAACGATTTCCTCTTTCTTGTTCACGATAGGCAAGGAGAGCACATTCTTTATCATCCATCCAGATTCATCCAGAGGTTCTTTCTAGCAGAACAAAAATAAACTTATCAAAAAAATACATCTCAGGAATATTTGAATGAAGTTTAACAGCTTTTCTTTTTGTAATACTGTCAATTTCATTTCATTCACTTTGATTTTACAGAAGCATAAGTTAAGGTGAGCTCACTTGAAATTCGAAGAATTCGTCTTGAGCAGCATTCATGATATTACAGATCTATAGGAGTGAATGGAAAGCAGCAGTCATGCTCACTGAGAATGGGCATTGCTTGTAGATTAATTACAGCCCACAAAATTACAATTATCCATCATTTTAGTGTGGGAGCACATTCTATTCCCCCTCACTGTGCACATGACAGGAGCAATATAAACCATAATAGCTCTCAACTCGTCTGACTACTGTGGCGTCAGTGGAGGAGGATGGAGGTCTAGACTCTTACCAGGCCATTCTCTGCAACGTAGGTGGGAAGCCCACTTACTAAAGCCCAGTGGTCAGCAGGAGGGTTACTGTAAAGACAATGCATATGCATCAGAGGAGAACAAACTGTACAGTACCTCTCTTTAATTAAGCTTTTATTTTATAGGTGGTAAAGTAAGGGTAAGGCTTTTAACATATTTTTGGGAAAATTATCTAAGGTACAACAACCCTCCATGTATGTAATCAAAAATACAGTAACAACAGCAATATTGTGAAATGTTATAACATTTAATTGACACTCCTATTTTAAGTGTCCTATTATCCTTCTGATGATACAAATCAGCTTTTTTCTGAGCTGGTGTTCAAGGAACATTTATTTCAGTTATCAATCTGAAAATGACAGTGTTCCTTTATATTTTGGTGTAAATGGTAATACATTTATATAAAGATAAACAGATGGTTCTATTTTCCCAGTGATGGGTTGCGGCTGGAAGGGCATCTGCTACGTAAAACATTTGCTCGGTAAGTTGGTGGTCCATTGTGCTGTGGCGACCCCTGATAAATAAAGGGACTATGATGAAAGGAAAATGAATGAATGAGATGGTTCTATTTTAACCATTTATTTATAACTGAGATCACACTTTACAATAAGGTTGCATTGTTGTATTTACTAACATGTACTAAGAATGAATATTTGTATTTATTGATCTTGTTCAACTTTGACTAATGGAATATTAAAATCCAAAGCTGTGCTGGTTAACATTAGCTAATACACTGTGAATTAACAAGAACTAACAGAAAACTACTTTATCTTCTTTAAATAATTTTAGCAAAGATGTATAAATACTTTAATACATGTAAAGTTCATGTTAGTAAATACATTAACTAACAGTATCTAACGAAACCTTATCGTAAATTGTTACTAAAATAGAAAAGCTTTGTCAGGTTTGTGTCAATTTTGACTGGTGAATGCATCTTTATATTATTTCTTCTCAACCACATTAAAAAAGATATATATTTTTTATTGCAGACAATAAATGGTGTGTCAAGTTTGTCTAACCACTGCAAAAAAAAAATAATAATCTTGCCAACATCGATTTTATTCTTAAAAAACTGGCCATTGCTATTTCTTCATATGTTTGAAGGTGCAGTTATTAAAATGTATGGAACTAGCTTAATAACACAACAAATGTTAACACATATTAACATTTACCATCCAATAAAATGCCTTCACTTACGGAATGACTTTGATGTCCTCCTTTCCATGCAATATGTAATCAATCACTTTGTAGAATATCACTTCCTGAAGAAGAAATAATATTGTAAGTAAAACACAGAGTATGCAAAAGTTGTATGAAGATTAATTCAGAGCAGTTCTGTTTCTCTGACATGATTAACAATTACATTAGCAATTATGTTTCCTATTTATCCTGCATATCACTCACTCTGCCATCAGGGGTCTTTGGTCCGCTATATGGAGGTACTTCTCCCATCAGTACGGGCCAAAGGTCAAAGAACTCCTACAAATACACAAAAACAAAATATTTTAAGGCAAACATATGTTTAAATAGGCACAAGTGCCATATATTCATTATAAATTCAACTGATTCAAATATGGTTCAAATGACATATCAAAGTACTAAATTTTGCAAGTGTAACAGCAGTAAACAAGCTTATAAGATGTTTATTTAAAAATTTTTTTTGTTAGAAAGAGGTTTATTTAAACATATTGCTAGTGACAGACAAACAGACAGACAGCCAGACACAGACATATTCTAATTATGTTAGCACAAATTCACATTAACATGTTTAGTACATTGCTAGCCTACTTTTAGCATGTAGCTAGCATTTTATCATGTTGCTAGCATTTAACATCTTGTTAGTATAGCTTGGCTAGTTGTTGTGCTAGTGCTAGACAGATAAAAAGATAGAAAGATAGTCACTTTAGTTTTGGTCATGTCGAGAAGGCCAACAGAGTAGCGGTCACAGTTGAGAAAAGCTCGGACTGTATAAAGAGCCTTGTGGAACTGTCTCTCAATGTCAGTCAGCTCTTCAAACACTTTGCTGGCAGACCAGAGCAATACCTTCAAAGTGGATTTGGAAAAAATGACATGAAAAAGATCATGGAATGACAGTGAATGTGAACACGTTTGAAATCTCAGTCTTATAGAAATCTCACTTGTCCTCTTCTGGTTTCACAGTTGTGCAGGTAGCTCAGGTGAAACACTCGGAGCACAAGATTAGCAAAGTTGAGATATTTCTTCAGTGTCTACAAGACAGAACATTGGATTCAGTTCAGCAGAGTGTTTAATCTGTTCTGTTAAAGTCAGTTTAATCAGAATGCTTAAACAGTTTTAATATTCAGTGAAACTTTTGGAGATTAGAAATGCGTAGGTCGCACAATGCATATAATTAATTTTTTCTGCAGTGTTTACGTTTCAAATTGACATCATCACACCAAGGCTCGAAGTTAGTGTTGAGTATGGTATGAGTGAACGGTACCTCTTCATCCTGAGCAGTGAAATGAGGAGCCCCGATCTTGTTGACTGCCATCATGACAGCCACCATGTCCTTGCCATTCATGATAGGGGTCGCAAGCACATTCTTGGTCTCGTACTCTGTCAAGTTGTCCACAAAGTCACTGAAATGGCTGTCCTGGAGAGTGAAGCATATATGATGGTAAAGCAATAGAACTGTAATAGAGGCCAGCTAGTGAAGTGCTATGCAGGTAAACCTCACTCCTGTGACTTCTGAAGGTGCTCTAGCGACAGACGCTAGAGGTCATGGTCTTTAGCCTCCTTATTAGAGCAACTGTCTCCCATGCAAAGAATCGCCAGTTCGATCTGAGCTCAGACTGTGTTGGGTGCATTAAGACTGGTGGGTTACACATGGGGGCTCGTCCGAGATGGGAGTGATGTTTAGGCAGTGAGTGTACCAAAGGCCAGCCAGCGAAGTACTATGCAGGTAAACCTCATTCCTCTGACCTCTAAATGTACTCTAGTGACAAACACTAGAGGCTTTTAACCTCCGCGTTAGAGCAACCGACTCCCATGCGAAGAATCGTCAACTTCTGTTAGCTACTGAAACTATAGTAAATTGGTGTTTATCAATTCAGTTAAATGCAATTAAATATTTATTATATATTTAATAAACATGCAACAAAAGTAGATTAATGCAAATCAACATGTTAATTAATATTAAGTAATATTTAATATAAATAATTATAGACAGGTTGGTAACACTTTACAATAATAGTGCCTGAATAATGATGTTTTAATATGTTAAATAAACATTACTTTATTATGAACTAATGATGAGTAATGCAGTAATTCTCAACCACGTTCCTGGAGGACCACCAGCTCTGCAGATTTTCCATGTCTCCTTAACCAAACACACCGGATTCAGATCATCAGCTCATTAGCAGAGACTGTAATAAGGTGTGACAGACAAAGTAGACATACAAAACATTTAGTGCTGGTGGTCCTCCAGTTAATGCATGAGCTAATTATGTACTAACTTTAACTACAACATGATGTCACATTAGTTAATGTGTGGCTACCTTAATTAATTGTTAGTACATGATTGTTTGTTAATTAATGTATTAAATATCACATTGGTTTATGCTTAATTAAACCATAATGAAATCATGAGCTGTTATTGTATATTATATCATGACTTTGCTTGGAGGTGCACATCATCATTAATCCAACAACTCATGAACTCCATATGCACATCTGTCTAGTGCGTTTACACTGAATAACAATAGAAAAGTGTTCTGTCAACATCAAAAGGTTAAACAAAGAAGTTTATAAGGATGAGTTAAACATGATGTGCCCCTCCAAGTAAAGTCATGATATTGTTATGCATTAACAGCTCATGAGTTCATGTTGGTTACATTTAGCTTAAACTTAAATGTTAATTAATACATTAATTAACAACATGTAATAACAAGTAATTTAGGTAACCATTGCTTATTGATGAACTCTTGTGACTCATGTTGTGGTTAAAATTAGTTCACGATTAACACATCCCTTAACTTATAATGTACTCATGATTAAGTAATGTTTATAGCTATGACATGTATCATTAATACATCATTGTCCATGTACTGTTATTGTAAAGTGTTAGACAGCTTAATAAAACAAACTTTTCTCTCCATCCTGGATCAATAATGGACAAATCGCATAATATGCCTATTTGCATGATGTATATGACTGGATTTAAGCGTTAATTTGCTTTTAAATGGGAAAAAAATCCAACGATCTATATTTTGTTGCAATATTATCAGTAAAAATGAAAAGTAAATGTTGAATCCAGGTAAACGCTGATATTCTGCTGACCAGTGGAACACGGCGTTAGGCACTGACCTTTAGATTTAATCCAGGATCGCTCTAATTCAACTCAGATTAAAGACTTTTATCCCCTCCAGACCCCGCTAACCTAAACACACTGGGAAGAGCACTGACCTGCTCTAATCCAGCACCAGCCTTGCATATTAATAACTGACCTACAGTACAAGGGAAGTAAAAGTTGAAGCAATCTCATTCCTAAAATTATGAAGACGACAACACGTTTTGCATATAAACGTGGGAATACTTAAAAACATTACCATATCTGTGGACAAACATGTAGTTACTCAGCAGTCTAGCAGACATTTCTTACTGAGATACGACGCTGTCGCCACCTCGAGGGTTTTAAATAGACCACTTGGTATTTCGGTCACATAACGCCATTGTCAAGATTGAAAAACCCCATTTTAAGTGATTATGAGCACCACAGAGGAAAGTATATTGCCGACTGAAGCGGTGAAGCACACTGTGTGCCAAGACGGACTGTTCCTTTGAAAAATGGTTAGTAATTTCTAATCAAAGAGAGTGAGATTTCACGGTCGTCACACAGCACATTGACTCACACATATCTTTCTGTGCTGCATCTCCTGCATATTTCTCATGCTTATCAGCCAAAACAGCAAATGACACAAATTGTTAGCAAAACATCCTATTTTTAGCAATAGTTTATGTTTAATATTAAATAAGTTATTTTCTTTTAATGCCAGCTTTGTTAGAACTGTCAATAAATTACTCTATAAAACGCACGCCACGTACCCTTGGACAAAATCATAAATCACTTGGTGTATAAAATTCTGAATAGTCATGCCTTAATTTACTTATCTTTTGGCCTGATCAAAATGACTTTGAAGCAAATCTGGAGTATGAATTGCTGGCGTTGCACTGCCCTCTACAGGTTATATAAAGAGTTCACTTTAAAACTACTGGTATTTTTCATACACTGAAAAAAATGTCTGCAAAATTGTTGCAAACTATTTAAATGTGTTAAATTTAATCAAACTAATTAAATGTAGTAATGTTCAACTTAATTAATTTTTTTTTTAAATTTAGACCAAAAAATTTATAACAACCACTTAATTCTTTTTATTAAATTCACAGAATCATCTTTGAATATTTTTTTTTCAGTGTAATCAAAAGAAAACCTACTTGTATTAGATGATAGTATCTTTTCAATTAAAAGTACTTATTTATTAGCTACTAATGCTCACTTCTTAGGTTCTCATTGGCTATTTATTTATTAATACTAATATGATACTACAAGTTAACATTTATGAGGCCTATTAGATAGTAAATATTCATAACATACTAGTACATCAATAGACTCTAGCACATATAAAACAGATAATTGTACTTCTTCATTTAATACTATTATTAATTCCAATAAAAGTAATTTTTTAGTTAAGCAACAACTACCAATTGAACAGATTGTTGTACCTTTTTAAATGTGTTTTTGTTTGTAATGTTACTAATGGCAAATCTTATATGACATTGACTCTGGACTTCTGTCGCTAAGATATCAGCTTTTTATTTATGACTAAAACGTATTCCAATGTGATTATATAATAAAGTTACTTAGGTACTAGTAAATTTTTAGATAGTAGTATCTTTTATTAGATACTAGTAATTATTTTATATATGCCTTCATATAATTTGTTTTACTCTACAGTATTTATTCAATATTTACTGTAAAAAAAAATGTTGCTTAAATTTGAATCAAACTAATTTCCCAAGTCATTTCAACTTGCATCACAATGGCTTCACAAAAATAATAAGTTGAAACATACATTCATTTTCTTTTCGGCTTAGTCCCTTTATTAATCCGGGGTCGCCACAGTGAAATGAACTGCCAACTTATCCAGCACGTTTTTACACAGCGGATGCCCTTCCAGCCGCAACCCATCTCAGGGAAAACGCTGAAACATTGATTACTTTAATATATTACTTAAAAAACACATGCTAACAGTCATGGCTAACTTGTCATACAATGATTTTTTTAATCTATATTTAAACTAGTTCTTCTTTGTGAGATTCTAAAAGTAAACACAAAGTATGTTATAAGCATCAAGGTTTATCCCACCTTTGTGACATCAGGTACGTTGACAGTCTTCTTAGCAGTGGCCACATGTCCTACAATGCCTGTGTCCAGCGGGTACACAATCTCGCTGTCTGGTGGCACCAGACATTCCTCCAGGGTAGCGTCTTTATGGACATTGAAGATTCGTGTGGCCAGTTCGGCTATTCCATTCCTCTGGCGGTACATGAAGAGACTCATGCGATCTGCCCGGATCATAAAGCTCAGATGCCGCATGAGGTTAAACACGGCCCTCTCCATATGCAGGTTCTCCTGCATGTCCCGCACCATGTCAAAAATAATCTCACACTCCTCCATAGAGCTCAGTTCATGGTGAGAACTGATGTCCACTGCGGTTTGCTTAGTGGTCGAAAGAAGGTCAGAGACGACCTTCGCCCGGAACCTGGAGTCATAGTATTGCTTGGCAAACATTGGATTACTGTCCAAAAACTTCTCAGCCACATCCTTGTCCACTGCAGCCATTTCTCCAAAGCTGTAGTGAAGTTTAACACTTGAATGGGTTTTCTATGTGGGGTCACAGTTGTCCTATGCAGCAGGACACTGAGAAACACTGAGGGATTAATAGAGATTGTTTTAAAGAGGCGTCTGAGTGTGCTCATAATCCTGTGTCCAATTGTAATTAGGATTATGACATTTACCTGAGAGCAGTCGCAGCTAGAATACATAAGCGTTTGTTGACGCAATTAGAACATCTGGAAAATGAGCCATTTTAGGCCATATGGCGGCTATGTAATGCTTTAATTTTGTTGTAGCTTGTTATGTATATTCATGTAAGCTTTGCAAAGGTACAAAGCTAAGTCTCCAACAAAAGGGATTTCTTCTTCAAATAAATTCGGATGTATGCCAAGCTTGGGTCAAAGCTTTAAGATTCTGTGCATGGTATACTGTATCTTTTCCCAATATTCAGATTAATGGCTTTTTAAAACCAAAATAATGTCACTGTTTCCAAAAAATATATAATGAGTACAATTGTTGCTCAACAATGACAAAGAGATCTTCTTGAAAGTAATTATATAAACAGATGTTTTAAAATGTTAATAATATTAATTACTATTAATAATAAGTACTACAGTACTTCTGATTAACTAAAGTAGCCTTTGTTAATATGAGTCTCCTTTAAAAACATTCAATAATTGTATCCCAAATTTTTGATTGTGTGTGTGTGTGTTTGTGTGGTGTAACAAATGAATGACAAATCTGTTTCAATTTACTATTTAATAATGGCTATATTTCTATTTACATAAATACATTTACACTGTATACAATATCTACATAATAAAGGTACTTGTCAGCTTTATGTTTAATTGTAATTCTTGACAGTTCTCTATTCGAAAGGCTGCTGCTTATCCTTGTTATTGAGTGTTCATGTTTTCAGAAGATGGATTTAATAGATGTTGGCCCTGAAAGAAAAATCTGCATTTTAATATTGTTTATTTTACACAGCAAGTCGGTTACTGAATATCCACAAATATGTTCTATTAAGTTTCTAAATAAGTTTTCTCTCTCTCACACACACACACACACACACACACACACACACACACACACACACACACACACACACACAAACACACAAACACACACACATACACACACACACGCACGCACGCATGCACGCACGCACGCACGCACGCACGCAAATCCCAACTCTCCCAGGAAACTATATCCATTTAACATTTTCTAAATACTTAATTCCAAGTAATTTATGAGCCATTTTCCTCATGGGGCCCCCCCAAAAAATACTGGAATGTACTGGAATTGCTATATTACTTTGCTATATTTACTTTTGTATTTTTGATTAAATAAGCGCAGCCTTGGTGATCAGGATAAGCTTATTTTAAAACATTAAAAAAATACTGCCGACTCTCGGTATATTCATTCCATAGATATCATTATAATGTGTGTGTCTCCTAATGCTGAAACTATGGAATAAATATGCACAAAAAAACAACAGCTACCTGGAAAAAATTGAGATTGTCATCACTCCCAGAACCAGCTCGAAGCCATAAAAGCAGAGGAGCACAGCATTGAGGACAAACTCAAGGCGTAAAACGAAGGTCTGAAGCAGCAGGTAGTAAACACTCAACACTGCACATGGCACCAGAATAGCAACACTCACAAACAGAGCCAAAGAACGCTGACACAGGTTCCCCTTCCAGCCTGAAAGACAGATTTTACACACTATCACTACATTTGCAACATGGGGCAATGCACTTTCATCAATTACAACAGTACACAACAAAGAGGGCAGTTATCTCTATTATAATTCATTCATTCATTCATTTTCTTGCCGGCTTAGTCCAAGCGGAATGAACCGCCAACTTATCCAGAAAGTTTTTACACAGCGGATACCCTTCCAGCCGCAACCCATCTCTGGGAAATCTATTATAATTCTTTTTCTACAATCATGCACTTGTGAACACAGCAGGGTTAAACTCTATTAAGAGCTGAACAGAGAATGCGTATTAAAATCCAGTTCAGTCTAAGATTTAAAAATTGTATTTCAAGTGATATTAAACATTAGACAGGATATAAAATTGTAATTCAAATACAGAGTGTTATAAATGAGTGCTTAATTCTACACTGTAAAACCCAACAATCAACTTTATCAAATGAAATGAGTATAGCTAATTTAATTCTACTGACTTGAAAAGAGTTTTGATCTCAGTGTTGAAGGTAATGAGTTATTAAAATACCTTATTACTTCAACTTAAATGGAGTAGGTTCACAGTACTCATATAGATTACTAGTTTTTTTGTAATCGGTTTCCTCAAATGGTTTAAGTTGCCTTAACTTATTGGGTTTAACAGTAGTCAGTTGGTTTGAGTTCTCTTCATTTAATGGGTTTTACTGTGCTCAAATTGCTTCATTTACTAAAATGGATTATGTTCACAGTACTCATTAGGATTTTCTTTTAACTTAAATGGTTTGTTGCAATCGGTTTCCTCAAACAGTTTGAGTTACCTTAACTTTTTGGATTTAGAACTTATACGAACACATATACACACATATTTGGTTTGCTAATGGATTATTTGAACATAATGGATATTTATAATGAATTTAAAAAACTGCATGTGCTAAACAGAACTTTAAAAAATAAAGTTTGAAGCTGCTGTTTATGTATTAACAGGTTATTTGTGAAAACTTGTGTTTTTTGGGATTTTTTGATGAATAGACAAATAAGTAAAATAAATAAAAAAAAATGTATTTTTTGTAAAAATCTAATATTTTATATCACTTTAAACAATTCAGTGGATCCATGCTGATAATAATATTATTGCATCATAAAATAATTGCATTATTGTATCCCTGTCTTGTTAACAGTGACATTCAGTTGAAGTCAGAATTATTAAACCCCCTTTGAATTTTTTTTTTTTTATATATTTCCTAACTGATGTTTAACAGAGCAAAAAAAATTTCTTTTTTTAAAAAATTATTTTCAAAAAATATTCTTTCTTTTGGAGAAAGACTTATTTGTTTTATTTTGGCTAGAATAAAAACAGTTTTAAATTTTTTTTAATACAATTTTAGAGACAAAATTATTAGCCCCTTTAAGCTACATTTTTTTCCAATAGTCTACAGAACAAACCATCATTATACAATAATTTGCCTAATTACCCTATCCTCCCTAGTTAAACTAAAATGAACCTAGTTAAGCCTTTAAATGTCACTTTAAGCTGTATAGAAATGTATTGAAAAATATCCTAGTAAAATATTATTTACTGTCATCATGGCAAAGATTAAAATAAATCAGTTATTAGAGATGAGTTATTAAAACTATTAAGAAACGTGTTGAAAATTCTTCTCTCTATTAAAAAGAAATTGGGGAAAAATTAAACAGGGGGTCTAATAATTCAGGGGGGCTAATAATTCTGACTTCAACTGAATGTCTAATTAGGAAATAGTTAACAGTTAAAACAGTTAAAGTAGTTCTTTTGCAGCACAGTTTTTTTTAAGTTTATTTAAAATGGGAAGTTTCACTATATTGCTATTTTGTCATGTTTCAAAATAAAACTGTAAATGAAAGTGCCTGTGAAGGCGTACTGTAACAGCAGTGTCAAGAATATACATTTCTAATTCTTTCATTTATAATATTTTTCCTTATAGACACAGTAAGTCACAACAGACCATGATTATTTTGCAACAGATTTGAAGACTAATTCATCTGTTGTGGATTCCATTCTATTGCTTTAACCTGGAATAAAGTAAATTGCTTTTGTATTAAAACAGAAGCAATGGAGGTCAACAGTCATGTCCTGGAATTAAAAACCCCAATCATTTTATCCACAGGGAAATCAATTTTAAACAAAAGCTTATGAACCTTTGAAGACAGACCATTTATGAGCTCCGAGGTTGTTAATTGATTGTGTATGCTTCTGCTAAATCCATCTGTTCCCGTTAGCTCAACTTATTTATAAACAATTTTGTCTAATAGTGGAGAGTGATGCTGTACAGACAAATCTAACAATAAAATAGGTGAAATGGGCTAAACATGTCAGTGAAGTTAATTTAATTTTTAAAATACTAAATTTATATATTTATTTTTTTGCATATTTTAAAATGAAGTGAAACTATATTGTTTTTACAAATGATTTTTGAACATTTGATTTGAGTTATTTCTCTCAATAAAGCCATTACATGCACAGTATCAAAACATCTCTTTTATTTTGTTTATACTTATTTCCTTTGAATCAAAGTTGTAATATTATGTGTCGCCTGATAGCTGGTTGGATTGGGTTAAACCTTAGAGAACCAAACATAATGTTAAAAAAGCGTTTGCTATTTCTGCACAGAATTGGTAAAAATAGGTAAATATAATTCCATGGAATTATATTGAGATTATAGGTACCGAAAACTTTCATTAATTTATTTTCTTGTCGGCTTAGTTCCTTTATTAATCCGGGGTCGCCACAGCGGAATGAACCGCCAACTTATCCAGAAAGTTTTTACGCAGCGGATGCCCTTCCAGCCGCAACCCATCCCTGGGAAACACACAAACACTCATACACTACGGACAATTTAGCCTACTCAATTGACCTGTACCGCATGTCTTTGGACTGTGGGGGAAACCGGAGCACCCGGAGGAAACCCACGGGAAGGCAGGGAGAACATGCAAACTACACACAGAAACGCCAACTGAGCCGAGGCTCGAACCAGCGACCCAGCGACCTTCTTGCTGTGAGGCGGCAGCACTACCTACTGCGCCACTGCCTCGCCCTGTGTTGAAAACTTAACAAGTAAAGTTCAATATCTTAACTTTAAGATTTACAATGCGAATGCAATTAGAAGTACTCATTTTGTAAACAAAGCATGGCTGCAGCAATAAATCAACGTATTGTGGATTGATTCTTAGACTTTGAAATGGATCACTATTCAGTCTAGAATGGAATCTGATTTTTGAACAGCAGATGGCGCTTTAATCATACACTGAGCATGAAGATGAGCTATTGTGCTTCAGTCTTAATATAATATGGGATTAATATAAACACTGCTCACTATGAACACTAATTTATCTAAACATTTTCTTAAAATTATTAACTTTATTAATGATTCTTTTAT